AATCCAACAACAGATTGTAATGGCTAAATTTGAATTGCTGTCTTTTTGTATCTTCTAAGCTGGTCCTGTGGTTAGGTTGGTCTGTAGTGTGTTTATGCAAAAATGACCTCCACATTTTGCTCTGGAGGTGACTCATCTGCAGGACACAATGGGGTGAATCAGTTTTCTGGGGGAGCTACTGTACATATACATGTTCTTGTTTTATTCATATGAGACCTATTCCAGACTGTATTTAGATAAACAACAATTAAAATTCTCAATAACATTCTCACTGGTTTAAACGCATTAATGTGTAAATAGCCGTATCAATTGGGGAAAAAAAAGAGCACAGGCTGTAATTAACAATACCAATTTAAAAATAATAGGTAGCCAAATGCAGCATTGCATTAAACAAAATGTTCTAGGAAATGATTCTTATACAACATTTTGCATTTGGTATGATAAAGTGATCAGTCTGGGAATTGATAAGATTTTGAATTACTGCTTGGTTCAGTTTTGACACAGATATATGGGTCTTTCCTTCAGTGAGGTGACATTGAGGTAAATTGCTGTTGCCAATTAAGCAGCTCCTTGGTTTGTGGGATTCACATCTTGGCACCCAAGGAACAAGCTGACGTCGTCACTTTCAGACAGTAGTACATTAGTAAGACTGTGTGGGTATTCCTCCAGGGAAACCTGAATTATTAACAAGAGTTCATTCTGTTCAAGAGATAAATCTTTTACCATTCTTTCACTAAGATAGAATTGAATTGGCTCAGATAAACTGTGTGATTATGGTGTAATTTTATCAGGGTGGTAAAACATCAGGTTGCACCTTGTCTTGTTGGAAACACTGACGTTGCCCTAACATTGTACAGTTTTATTTTGTTCTGATTAACTTTGACACTTGGTGTTTAATATGATCCTTCAGGCTGACTGACAGAATGCCTGCTCTTTAATGTGATATTTGTTTAAGAAGTCGTAATCAATTGCGGAAGTGATATTATGTTACGGCTCATGGTAACATTGCTAATTGATGTGAAGATTTGCTAGATTAACAGGTTTAAATAAGGTCTCTGAAGTTTCATCTCAATGACCTCTCATTATAACCTTTCTTATATTACTATGAAAATCCTAAAAGAAACACTTAAGAATAAAAGACAGTTGCTTCATGTACATATGCGTAATGTTTAACTGTGCTGTTTGCTGTTATCAAAGCTAGATGTTTAATCTTTTTGTAGTTTGTCAATGGCTTTCAAGCACTTATTGTTTGGTTTAACTAACATTTGAATTATGTATACCAACAAAAGACATAAGGGTGATTCAATTTTAGTCACAGTTGTAAATTGTCTTTGACCACAGTTGTAGTCAGTAAATAAGACTGACTTCCTGGTAAAAGAAAATGATTGCACCCAAGCCTGTGAAGCTACAGTATGTAATCATTTCCTGAAAAATTAATGAAAGTGTACTGGAGCAAAATCTCGCCTGTGTGGGTAGTTTCTATAAAGGGTTAGGGGCTTAATCTGTGTTTGCAACATTTAATACATTAGTTTGTTCAGCAAATTCCAGTGTTAACCATGGAAACCATTGATGGAGATGAATACTGTAAATATTCTAATCATACAAATGTACTATCAAAAAGGAAACACATCAGTATCATTTTAAAGTTTTTATTATATGGCTCTCATTTGAAATGCACTGATTAAGAAACATATAAATAGTTTATTGAGGACTGGAGTGAACAATTACTTGCAGATGGTGAGATATTGAAGACCCATTCACTGTGTAATTAAGCAGACAAGCTTCAATTTTATGAATACGTGTTTAAAACTGCTATACTAGATTAAGAAGATATTTATTTGACTTTAACTTCTTTCACATTCTTTGCTGTGTCTTGTTTTGCCTGTGGAATGGAAGAAGCCAAAAGTTCAATTTTGATCAGTTTTCTTACTATATGCGCAGTAGTATTATATACAGTTTGGTATTTAGAAATAATGTTCTTACAATATCATGCAATTTCATGTAATGCACCTTAAGTGAAGTAATTTTTTATCTTTTTGATGAAGAGTTATATAAAAGCAATGAATGATGAATACTATAAGGAATTTTATGGTTCATTTCAGAGAAATGCAGTCTTTTTTAAGTGTCAGTGTGTCTTGGATATCAAAACATGTTAAGGTGTTTAGCCATGCTTTGGATTAGTCCAGTGGTCTCATATTCAATTCCTGGAGGGTTTCTTTCCTTCATCTCTTTCTTTTTTACAAAAGAATCATGCTTTTTTTTTAAAAATGGTGATCTGTAGTATACAGTATGTGCCGTAAAAGTAAAAAAAAACTACACCTACTGTACAGTACCTACTGTATACCTACAGTACACTTCTTTGCATCTACACACTGACAAATACAACTTTAATTTTAGGATCATTAATAATGCTTCCTTATAGTAAAAGTCTCACCATGTTTACTTTGTCGAGCTAAAGAAAAATAAACAGTTTTTTGGTGGTTGAAAGGCATTTGTTAAATTGTTTAAGCTATTGGGCCACCAATGATCAAGCACATTGTATTTTAAAATTATTTCATCATCTGCTTACTTACAGTGTGTCTTGTAGACACCTAATCAATGTTGTTTAACCTTATTAGAACTAGCACATCCAATACGAGACACTACCCAATATAAATTACATTATTTGAACTATTCTAGGAAATCCATGTCAGAAGAATATAACAACATTATGAAAATCAGTCTGTTGCTATTTCAGTGCATTAAACCAAGGCTTCAATCATTTTTGATTGCCCTCTTGTAATCAGGGAAGGTCACTGAGCTCACAGGATAATATTTGGATACTGAATTACAGAGTATTCCATAATAAAGAGACATGAACTGCCATTTCCCTCCAATAATGTCATTTTGTTTTGTCATTTTGTGTTCTGTTTTCGGAACAGATGCATAATAGATGCATAATAGTATTTACAGTACTGCATGTCACAGAGTTGTGTTCTAAGGCATACAGTACAGTTACAGTACATACTGTACAGTGGCACTCTGTGTTTGAAAGGTGCAATAAATCTTGTTGTTAAACTATACCTATGCATTTATGATGCCTCTTATTGGTTTATTGAGCAGTTATTCATTTTAGCAAGTGGTAAAGATTTTTATTGTATGAATGTAATAGGAATTATTTGGGAATAATACATAAGGTGACACCACCCCCTTGTAAATTGGATATTGTTGAATTCTCCTGTGGTGAGAGCCTTTTTGGTGTATTGGAATTCATTATTCTGAGGGGAGCTTTATTGAAGCCAGAGGTGCTTTACAGCAGCTGTGTTTGAAATTAACAGTGGCAGCAATGTAGTTCTATGTATTTCTAATAAGTAAGCATGCAGGAAGGAAGCAGGTATACCTTTGGATATATTATCACTCCACTGCTATAAAATGTTTCTTCACCAAGAATGAAGAAATGTCATTTAAATATAGTCTGACAAGGTGACTCTCTGGGGATTCATAAAGCTTAACCTTTGTGAAGCAGTTTAGCATTGTTAAAGATAACCCTGATTCAGATGTTCAGTGATTGTGCTGATTGCTTGACTTTAAGAAGATGAGTCATTCTTAATGGGCTAAGTAAATTTGCTTAGAGAATGTTTTCTCTTTGCAATTTGCAACTCCTGTAGTTATGCAGCAGTAGTTTTTTATTTTTAAGTAAAAAGAGGTATGTGTCAATATTCATATCCCTGTAAGTTAAAATATTCATCCGTTTTGGCTAATCAACTCTAATAAAAGAAAAAAATAATCATAGAAGGTAAGAATTACTGTAAATCTCATTAAATGGGTTTTAATCCTTGATTATTTTTTATCTTGTGTATTCATTCTCATCTGTCAGTAGAGCAGATTAATTCTTACTTATCTGTTCTACCACTGTGTTGTACACAATTTACTCAATAAATAAAAGTTGATTTTGAAAAGACCTCAGTCACATTAAAGAGTCAGACATGATAAAAGCTTCAAAGCAGTTAAGCAATCTGAAGAGAAAGAGACAAGAACTCCATCTGTTTTCTTCAAATTCAGAAGTATAGGTTTATTTAACTCAAAGCCAAGTTTAGAATGCACAATTGGGATTTTTGAGAGAAAGCAATGGCACCATAACTAATGAGGTTAAATAAATTCTGGAAAGCTCTTAAGGATGTTTTTAAATTACTTGGGGCATCCAAGAAAGATGCCTTCTCACACTGAACATTTTTTCTCCAGATTCTAACTACCCTAAATCAAGCATTCAGAGATGACAAAACTGCAGTGCACGAGTTCTGCTATGAAATCGAACTTGAATGTGAAGAAAAACTACGATATAAATGAAATGTGCAACTTTGAATCTAGCAAACTCTGTTTCATAGAACATGCTGTATCTTACAAGACTGGCAAAAGCACATAGCACAAATATTACAATGGAACACAACTAAGTCTCCTTAATTGAAGAAATTATTAAAATTTAAAAAGTTACTATTTAAAAAAGATATTATAATTAACTTCAAGGACACATTTCCGTTTTGCCATTATTGTATTCTAAATATGTATCTTGTGTCTTATAGTGTTTGTTGTGCGACAGTTTTTTTTTGTATTAACATTTTCAGCAAAATTAAGTTTCTAAAAACACTTGTAGAGCTGAACTTTAGAAACTTCACAAATAATGATGATTTTTTTTTGTTACTTCAGTGGAGATGTTCTGAGAAATGAATCATAATGTACTGCATGTGCATGAATTTAAAAAGTAGTAACATTGCCTTCCAGTTTAAAAATTGGATATGCTTGCTTCTAATATTGAATCTTTATACTTAGAAACTGTAACAGGCCTACAAATCCTAACAAATAGGGTAGGATTTTTTAATTTGTGACCAGCACTGCTATTTTTGATGAGGTAAGGCATGACAGCAGCTGAGTATTGGTCTGGTCGTAAATGTTGTTGTTAATGGGCTACTGTTCGAGCGCAATGAAGATTTTCCATTTTGTAACCCTCCATTGTTTCCTGACAGGATGATGAAGTGGTCCTCCAGTGTGTTGCCAACATCCAGAAAGAACATCGCAAGTTCTGCCTGGCAGCTGAAGGACTTGGTAATCGCCTCTGCTACTTAGAGCCAACATCAGAGGCAAAGGTAAGTTAGACACTGATACCATTTGGAAGCAAACTCTTCTTTTGAATAGCACCTGACAAAAAAAAAAGGTCAGCAATCACAGGTTGTTGGTAGCATGTTGGATTTTATTGTTTCAAAGTGGATTTAAAATGTCTGTTACCATCATGGGGACATTTATCAGGCAATGAAGATTTGTATAAAAAAGTAATGGTTACAGATGTGAACATTCAGACTTGAAACAGTTGTTTTGTATGTGGTCAAATAAAATGATTTTTTTCAAATGCATACTAAACAGATTTCACATTGAAATCTGAGTTCTCAGAGAGTGGTCTCTGCTTGTTTGGTTTTGGTTTTCTTGTATGACTAGTTCATACAGTACAGATATTTATATTTGAGTATGGGTTTCTTAATTTTTTCTGTTACTCAAATTATCTTCCTTATTTTCATATACTGTATACAGTATCTGGTAGGTCATATATTGAAAATGAGAACCATGAAACCAGCTGTATTTCTGAGCTACAGAAATCATTTTGTCTGTTATAATTTGGGTAGAGGGATTGTCAACTAGTAAATAAAATTAAATCAAACTGAGAAGAAATAACATTTCAATAACCTATACTATACATAGACATTTAATAGTGGGAGTGAAAAAATAATCCCAAGGATCTTCTTATTACTAAAATAATGCTTGTAATTAAATAACAGCTAGGTCACAAAACACAATTTTTAGCTGGAGATCAAAAACAGTAATTAAATCTGTAAGGCAACCAGGGAAGAAATTCCAAAGCTAAATACCATGGCAACCAAATACTGTGGTACCACATGCTTTCCAAATTTAACCTTGCAGTGAAATGTCCATCTGAGCCTGGAAAATAAAAACTGAATTTAGGGTTCAAAAACTTGGTTTAGTAAGAGAGAGCCAGTATGGTTAACAGTATAAGGTAGAAATATCTGTTTGAGAAATTAAAGTGAAAGAATAATACTTTAGATGGTCATCCATTTGATTGTGAAACAGTGGCTAAACCATTGTTGCACCATATTTGATCTGTGTGCATTGAAATGTGGTTTCACTCAGCTTTTGATAGGTACCGTATAAATCAGATTCCTGGGTTGTAAAATACTGCTTTTTTTTTCAAATGTACAGTATTTGTGCTTACCATTATATACTGAGTATCAAAAGCATGTTGATTTCTCTATGAATGTCTCTATTTCTCTATGAATGTACAGTATGTTGTTTGTAAAATACTGTATTGTACATATTTTGTTTATTAATTGTATGTTTTAACATGATTTTAATTAAGTCATCATTAATGACTGACCATGATACACTCAGTCCAAAATCAAGCCTAGTGAAAACATAGAAAGAAAAACAGGGAAAAAATACACCCTAATCATCAAGAGAACAATGCCTTTGTTCTGTTGAACAAAGAGCCTGGACTACTGTACCATTAGCGTTGTAGTCAAGGCTTTTTTAGTGTTGAATTGAAATCCTGTGTAGGTGATATTAATGGATGTCAGAGAATATGGTTCTGCAGATACTCTGATTTAATGCATATACAGTCTACAGATCAGTTAATGAGAAGGTCCCATGCTCTTATGTATTAAATTTATAAATTAGTTGCAGTTGTATCAGTAAGAGATACTGTAGATTTCTTTACTCAGTATATTCTGAATATTCAGTTTAAAAAAAAAAGTTACCTTAATCTTTAATGCAATGCTTCTATTTTGCAATAAATAAAATTCACTATCTCATTGTATTAAAAAATGAAAAATGTTGAAAGATTGCAAAACCACATTCCTTTAGAGTACTGTATATACCATTTGAAGATCAGACAGAAGCTACAATGTTTTATATCAGAATGCATCCATTAGCTCTTAGTTAATCTTGTCTATTGTTTGTGGTAAGCAAAAACTGTTGATAGTGCACTGTAAGAGTATTGTTTATTCTAATCATAATCAATTTATTTTTTTAATTATTTCTGTATTGCCCAGCTGGTAACATTCTGTGACTACCAGGTATTTTCTATTCAAAAGAAAGATTGATTTAAATATAACATGTACTGCATGTATTTTTCCCATCCTCTGTTCTAATATAGAAATTGAAATTGGAGTCCATAAAGTTTATTGGACAATATTTAAAGTAGACAGCAGTGATTTGTGATACTGCTGCCTTACAGTTTGTCTTCAGTGCATTATCTGTATGTGTAGCATACCTTAGGGAAAATGCCTCATTTTTTACTGTACTTCAAAAGAAGCAACAAATCATATACAGTCAAAATGCAAACAAGACGAAGTACATTGTTTAATCATTGCTTTAGCTTTTCAAACATGTGTTTCTAACAAACAGGCCTGATTACACAGACCAAGATTAGTTTTACTCCTAGACTTTGAAATATCAATGTCATCCAAGGTTCATGAAACCTCTGGCAATTCATTTAATAATATGCATCTAATGTGAACATTGGCTTAGCAGTATAGTGGACAAGAATGAGATATAGTCCTACTGTATCTCGGCTGTATAGTATAATTGTTATCTTGAAAACCCTAGTCCATACTGTTAAAAAATAGGAGACATACAGTAGGAAGTAAAAAGTGTAAATGAGTGTAAGTAAAGATCTAGTAAAGATCTAGATCATTGGTAATCATTTCACCAAGGTTCTGGCCTTTTTATGTACAGTATAGAAGAAACAGTTTCATAGAGGTGCATTTACTGTACCCTGTCTTTTAACCAGGCAAAAGTAGTGCCTTGTCTCAAAATAAAAATTACCTCCCAGAAGCCGCAATGTGAGTGATATCGCTAGTACTGTGGCTACAGAACTTTAATCTCTTGCAGAGAACAGGTACAGTCTAGTTTTCCAGTATCCCCAATGTGTCGTCTTTGCATACGTCCTTTAGACATTTACTAAAGTGTCTATTTTTTTCTGATTCACCCAGTACTTTAGCTGCTGTGAAACAGCTACTGTATGCATGTTTCTTGTTAAGCTCTTTTCATGTGGAACACGTCTGTTTCACTTAGCAAAACCATGTACAAGTTATAATTTGATGCAAAATCACTACAGTACCTGCCAACAGTCCACTCTTTTCCCCTTGTTTCCCTTTCAAAACTATTCCAAACTATTAATCATTCACTTGTTTTTTTTAATGATTATGCCTTTCTTTCAAAAACAATTGACTAGATTGCAGATGTAGGTTAAGAGGTGCAAAGAAAATGGAGATAAGTAAAAAGAAAGAAACTAATTTCGCGCTGTGAAATAATGTTTCCCTCCTGGAGTGCAAGTGAAAGTTGTTTTAATTGAGTAGTGCTAAGGATCGATGCATAGCAGTTTGAACCCTCTTCTTAATAAAGGCCTGTTTTTGGCATTCACTGTATCCTTCATTGGATAAGATTTTGACATGCCCTTACTGTGCAGGCAGTCCTGGCTTTTAAAAGCCTATCAGGCTGTAGCTCTAAAACCAAAATTATACCTGGATCTCAACATAACAGTAAAAATCAAGATAAGGCTGTTATGACAAAGAACACATTGCTCTACGGACTTGACATTCATTCAAATGGTAACCTTAACAGATTGAAGCTCTTCATTTGTACAATTATCTTTAGAACAGAATGCCAAGGCCAGGTCTAGCATACTGTACATTCAACTACATACAGTATGAAGCACATTTTTTTAAAAAAAGGAAAGAGTAAACCTTTACTTGCTAGTGTTTATCCTAGTATCACAAGAATAATGATTATAAATCAGAAAGAATGCAGTATGTTGTTTAATATTCTGTAACTTTCTGATGCAGATAAGATTCCACTTAGGGTTATGACGTTTGTCATAAACTTTTGCAACTCGTATACAGTTGGCTATGTACACAAGGTATCATCATTTATCGTAAGAAAGCTCTGGGAAGTCACTGGTCTTCACACTTTTTATCTATACAGACACATTTAGGACAGACCTGAATAGTAGGAACAATGAAAGTACTACTCTGAATAAAATAAATAGACTAAAGTTTATTTTACTGAATCCTAAGTATTTCCCTGATACAAAAGCAGTAAGCTGATGAGGAATGTTTCATTTAAGTATGTCAAATGTTTCACAAACAAAAACAATTGCAATACAAAGAGACATTTTGATTTATTTCTAAACTAAAACTTTAACAACTGACCTTATTGATTCCTTCCTCAGGGAAATGGATATATAGTTCTCTACAAATTGTGGACATACCTCAGAGCACTGAGAGTGCTCATTGTGCTCTTAGCTAACAATAAAGCAAGAGGGTCAGACAGACAGGCAGCCATATAAAAGTCTCTTTTTCCTATCCTTCCAGATTGAAAGCTCACTATTAGAGCCCCTGTGCTGAGTTGCATTCTCATTAATAGATTTTGCTCATGTCTGCAGCTTTCTTCCCTCAGTTGCGTGCTAGCCTCTCTCTCCATGCTGCATGGGTCACAGGTCACCAGGCTGGGTTACAGTCTTGGGAGCATGTTACCCCTGTTCTCTTTCCAGTATGTACATGATATTCTATGCTTGAGTGAGTGTGATGATTTCTAAAAATGTGTTGTAATTACTTTAAAGAAATCATCTATAGGAAAATAAACACACAAGGGATGCACAGTAGCATTAAGTATTAAGATGTTACAGTATATGGCTGATTGGAAAGTACAGAAAATAGTACTGTTTACAGTAATACCATGCCCTATGTAACTTCTATGTTTTAAGAGTGAAACAGAACACACTGTACAGTACATACAGCATGGTCTTTCCTTGAACATGTGCAGTTAATTTATTGAAATCGATTTGCATTTATTTCTTTTTGTTTTCTGTGAATGAATATAATCAAAGACTATTGTTTTATGAACAGTCTATAAAATCATGTAGATGTGACCAAAAACATAATCTATAGCAAAATTAGTTATTGACAAGATCAATTTTACAAATACAAATCCTGGAACCTGCAAGCTTAATTTCAGTGCTTATTTTTCAACTAGGCCTTTGTTTTCTATAAGGAATCATGCCACAGTAGCTCAGCTGCAATTACTTTGAAATCCGAGAGAGAATTAACAGCAGAATCTAAAAGATTGCATTTGATCAGTGCTGGAAAGATATTTTTCTGTTAGGGAGGACTGTGTTGAAAATACCCAAGTTGCTATACTGCAAACTGGAATGCTATGGTTGAGGAAAGTAAATTACTGACAAAAAAATTGTAAAACATCTGTGCATATTTACTGTAAAGAACTTTGATGACAGTTTTTTTGGCAATGATGAAATGCAGTGGTTTGTTTGTATAGAGCTCTGATGTCTTCATGTTAATACCCCAAAGTCTATAGGTTTGTATGGATTACAAGAATGTCTGCCTTGTGAAAAATTTCTGATAATGTGATTACTACAGTAGTAAACGGGGCCCTATTTAGTTAGTGAACTTCTAGTCAGTAATGCGTCTCATTTCACAGGTTTAACAGATGTGCACTGGCATAGGAGAGAGATACAGCCATGTGCTCTCAGAGGTCTTTAGAATTGAGTACAGTAAATGTGCTGGCAATTAATTGTCGAACTTCTGTCTGATACAGACTAGGGAGGAGAATAAATGAACCTAATTAAGATCAAGCTAACCAGAGGGACTAAAACTTTGGCAGCACTTAGGCTTGACAACCTTTTTTTTATCTCAAAACAATAATTAAGGAAACATATCAGTGAGCAAAAACTACCAGAAGATCAGGAGAAACTCTAAAACTGGATTTGTTTCTGTTTTTTTGCACAGTTAATTTTTAAAAAAATCTATAGATCTGTAATCTTAGTGTATTAATAAAATGTATTTCTTTATCTACTGTTATGGCACTCAATAGGCATATTAATTCTGGAACCTCCTGATTCAGGGAAGCATGGCAATTTTCAGAGTTATACAGTAATTGAAATTTATAAACAATCTCTACTTGTATTGTATTAAAGGTCAAAATGTGATGGAAGCGGTGTTAAAGCTCCTTAATGTTGGTCTATTTAGATTTTTGTCCTTTTTGATGTGTTCTGTGCTTCGTTAAAGCCCTATAAATGGGAGATATGGGAACTGCAGAGTACTATGCCGTATCAGCAATTATGAAACAATCTAATATCACTTTTAACTTTGATGTAACTTGCTTTTTTAAAATATTGTAATGATATGGAGCTAAATTTAACTGTAAAATGTTCTCAGCTTGATTTGAATGTTTATCCTTTTGCTTTGTCTGTTTACATGAAACATTTTACAGTTTTCATTGTAACTTACTGACTCTACAAAGACATTGAAATAAGATATTCTATTGTAAATTTGCCTCTAGCTCTGTAGGTTTTAAGATTATAAAGTACTACAGTGTCCACATTGAATGTAACTACTGAGTTTTTGCAAGTTTTAATAACTATTTTCTGGTATCTGATATCTGATAACATTTGCTTATTTGGTATACATTTTAAGAAACAATTAGTTGCTTCTGTCCCTTTTTAAAAGACAAAAGACTACAATACTGAAATCAATCTGAAAAAAATAAAATAAAACCATGTATACTGTACTGTACTTAAATAGATACAGCAACACATAAACGTGCATACTGCTATAGTTTCTCAGAAGTAAGTTGTTCTTACTTTCTAAGCCAGTATCTATCAATATCAGAATGATGATAATTCTGGTTGTTAAAGGGCCCATAACCAGTATGACTTCAATAAGCTTATACCTACCATAATCATACCATAGCCTTACCTATTAATCATTCCAATACATCATCAACTTGATGTTGTCTAGATGTTTTGTTGTTTAATGTTATTTTGCTGTTTCCGTTTAAAATCATAATGCCTGATTCAGAGTTTGATATTTTCGATGAAGCAAGACTGATTGATCCTCTGTTAAAACATGTCCCAGATCATTTGTTTCTTGTCCACTTTTAATGCTAAAGTGAAAATTATATTTAAATAAATATTCACATGATTAATATTGATTACAACTGTGGCAAGACTTGTGGAGGCCATTCTCAAATGAATATTGTTTCTCTCTGTTAGCAGTTATGCATCTGACCCTAGTGATCTTGAACATTATTCATAAAGTATCTTCAAAAGGTGCTCCCTGTAAATAAAAGCATTAATTTTTAGAAAAGAATTTGCCTTAACATGCTTTATGTAATTCTAAAGTTTGAAAGTTAGATTCTGTTGACAAGGATGTTAAATGAATAGTGGATCCCATTTTCTCCGATGACCTCATTGGAAATGTTTTACAATTACATTTAGTTTTTAGTATAATTGTTTATGAGTGTCTCAATAACATATTTTTTGTGTTCTTTTTTTTCCTGAAAATTAAGTATAAGAAAAGGTATTGATGATAATTGTCCCCAGTGAACTCGTTAGGGTTTGTTTGTGTCTTTTAGTTAGTGTATCTGTCAGAGCTTCTATAAACATTTTTAAAAAATGGAACAAAGTCAATACCTTACTCTGACTAGAACCCTCTGCTTGACCATTGTTTTATGATACATTGTTTTAGGCAACTTAAGCAGTACGTTTTAAATTGAAGCAACCATGGATTTGTAGGATGACATTGAGCCAGCATTTGTTTATGTGTAAATTCTTATAAAGAAGTCTGATAGTGTGTTCCCTTTTCTACAATGTTAAAGTGAAAGATCTTTCATTGTAATGCCGTTCATGCCCACAGCTCAAAGATAACATTTGTAATGTTAAATTAAACATTTTAATCTGAAAATAAAAAGGTCAGAAAAGGTAAATATGTTATTTGATGGAGAAATCAAGGATTTTTGACATGCAGTGAAAAGTTCCTAAGGAATTAACACAAACAGGATGTTCTTATAATGGCTTTGATTTTGTTTTGCAGCCTTTAAAAGCACATAATGTAATCCGAGCGCTGGAGAGAAATAATGCTTTGATGAATCTGGTCCATTATTGCTTTTGATTGGCAATTTTGTTTTATTATTTTCTGAAGTATAAAAATCCTAGAAACACAGTGATGCAGAACATTGCTGAACTGACAGTCAAATCACGTTTCTGCACACAGTTGTCCTGTAATTACTCTGCACATACTGTAGGTCAGTTGAACAAACGTATCTGGGATTTGCATTGACGTCTGCCTTGTCGTCCCCGTCTCGTTGCAGTATGTTCCGCCGGACCTGTGCATCTGTAACTTTGTGCTGGAGCAGTCCCTGTCGGTGCGGGCCCTGCAGGAGATGCTGGCCAACACTGTGGAGAATGCTAGTGAAGGAGTAAGTGTCACTGCCACTTCACAACCCACATGTTGCAGATTTATTCATTTCTGCATTCTTCAGTTTTATTATACACTCATGGAGTTCTATTTTGTGAAGAACAGAACGAATCTTAAGTCCGCATTTGCTTTATAATCAGTGCTTCTACCGCCATTCTAATTAATACATACTGTACAAAATCAAACATTTTCTCGTACTGTAGATTGTAGAAATTTCACTTCCCAATGTTCACTTAATGGTTGTTATATGTACAGTAGCTCCAAGTGCTACTGTACCTATACCTTGCCTACAGTAAATCCATTCTGTGAACTTAGAACTGATGTGTGCTTCTGTGTGTGATATTGTTCTTGTTATCATGTTCTTAGAATTTTATCTTTATGCTGTGTTTAAGCCTTACAGTCAAGACAGTACTCTACTATGTGATGGCTTTCCTTTGTCATATAAGGATATTATAATGTAAAGACCCTGTTTGTTCCAGACTTTTTTCACTTTCATTTTTTTCCTTTGATCAACACTGGAATTTGACGAAAATTCTGAAATGCCAGTAAATAAAGCTTCGCCTAATACCAGTGCTACATTTCCCATTGAGCCTCCAATACAAAACTATAATTTAGAGTTTAGATTTACAAAGTAGTATACTGTAAATATTTAATCTTTACTGTTTTTCTGTTCTATTATAATCTACAGTATTAGGATTTTGACTCAGGAATGGTGGAAATATGGGCAAACTTGGTAAAGGTATAATTTGTAATTGTGAGTAGAATTGTGTGAAATATTTTGGTGGGTTTTTATACATGATGTGGTTATTACAGATTATAGAGGTAAATTTTAGTTCTAACAACAGGTTAGAGCACTGTTATGCAAAAGTTATTATATCAATTGCAGGTGACATCTTGTTTTCTGTATCCTTTCCAGAGCTCAAAATTGAAATTGTTTGATAAACTACATCATATGTGAAAATGTGTTGCTCTTCCCTTTACAGTACAAGCAGAGACAGGGGACATGATATGTTAGTAACCCTTTTAGAGAAAATCGGAAATACTGATATCAGGTGTCTTGGAGTTCAAGCATTATCAAAACATATGTATAATTTGGGTACAGAAACTTTAGTTTAATTATTGTATTTCAAATTAAAAATCCCCTCAAATAAACAGGCATTATCTGTCAGTGCTATAGTACATGATTGACTAGTCTTGCCATGCAGCTCTTGCCCAACATTCGGCTCAACAGTTGGATGGGTTTTATTCAGTTGCGATTCTATTGATTATCTAAAAAACTGTTTACAATAAAAATACACATCATTTTACATCTTTGTTTGTAAAATTCATCCTCTTCCTTTTACTTTCCTAGTTAGTGTTGCTGTTGTTGTGATATACAGTATGTTGCATGGGTAGAAGCAAGACATACTGTAATACACCTTTTGATTGTTAATTTAGCAAATTTCAGCTTATTCTTACTGTAAGTGGGTAGTAATATTAATGTGAATATACTGGAAGGGTAGATATTTAAGGTCATATTAAAGGCTATAAAAGAACTAGAACATTTAATTTTTTAACAAATACTGGGTCAAAATTCTAAATGAAATTATTGTTTTCGGATTTATCTTAAAGTTTTGGATAATTAAGGCTGTACTGTAAAGTGGACATGTCTGATGTACGTTCAGGCATGGTGAGCCATTCCTCTAAAATGATAAACGCCAGTATTTTTTTTAAATACTGCAGTTGTAGCTTCATACTTGAAATTATTTTTGAAATACTTGAAAAACTTCTAAATTGGCTTTACTAAGAAAAACCCTTTAGTCACTAAAATCTTGGCCTGGTTTTTACAGTAAAAAGTGCTGTGTATAATAATGAATTTGCCCCATGTGTCATTTAATGAAGATTTCATTTTTGGAATTCATGAACTGATGTCTAATATTCATCTTTTGTGTAACATATTTCTTGAACTGTTATTTTAATTTGCTTTGTTTTTGCTTTCATTGACTATGGCAGCACAAGTCATGCTTTTTGTCATTTTTTTGCTTTATTATTTATCTTTGTTTTTGTTCAACCATGCTAGCACAAAGACCTCGACAGATGGGTATGTCCACCATCCATTTAATACCTGTACATTTTTAACTGCATGAAAGCTTTCTTCATGAAGAATCAATTTCACTTTCATTTAAAGGTGTTTGCAGAATCATTTGGCTTTTCTCCCTTTCTTTGAACACACACACAGACAGACATATTCGATGCATACTGTATGCAAGATCAAACCTTTTCTTTAGCAAAAAAAAAAACATCTTTATTCTGTAGTGGACTACAGTTTTAATTTCAAACACTTATTATATATTGAAAATAAAACAGATACTCCGAAAAATGGTTCAATCAAAAAACAATTCAGTCAGACTGAAGTTTTTTCTATCGTTATTCTGAAATGAAATATATGATTTTCATATCAGCAAACCAAACTCAGGTCATTTTGTGTAAGTTTTCTTATTGTATATGTGTATACTCTGTTTAAATTTACCTTGAAGGCATATGTTTATCTCTAATTTAAGTTGAGAAACTAGCAACAATAATTTGCTTAAACTTTGAGAAAATTTCAATATTTATTTACATGGGGAAAGTTTATTCATTTATTTTACCACATACTGTAACATCCTTTCAGTAACTCATACTTTGAATGTATTTGATGTACAGTACTACTGTACTGTACATCACTGGGACATTGGTACATAAATTATTTATTGCTCCCATTTTTAGATTTGTCTTTGATCTTTCATATAATGTACATAAAATGTTTAGAATCTGAGTCTTGTAGGAAAAGTAATAGGATGATTCTCCATTGCTTTAAATTGTTTGCAGGAAGACAGAATGAGAGTTTAAAATATTTGATTCTGGAATTTACTTGCCGATAACAGTGGCCTTAGCAAAATACCCCCTTCCCTTAATAAAATAAAGGGACATATGCAGCTTATAACAAAAAAGGATCATCTACCAGTATGGAGTAGTGGTGAGGGATTGTTTGGATCAAATCCAGACACTGCTTTTTACACTTAAGCAAGTTATTTCAGAGATTGCTTCAGTTAAACGCAAGGAGACATACCGTAAATAGGTGCAAATTTAATTCAGTTTGGATAAAGCCAAAACTATAATAATTTTGGATTAGCCAAAACAATAATACTTCATAAGATATGCACTTTGATATGAGGTATGCTAATTGAAATAGTCCATGCAATTAAATGACCGATACCAATCTGTTGCAGTTCAGAGAAGCATGTAGATACTGTACTTCTTCTGAAAACCAGTCACCAAAGACAAATGGGCTTTCTGATAACATTTAAGTTTTTGTAGCAAAGCAAGGATTAACTGTGCATTTTGAATACGCTCTATTTAGTCTGTATATGTCTAAAAATTGTTGCTGTATAGCACATGAAAAAGCAAGAACCATCATCACATGCAGAAAATGAAGAAAACTCAGTCATATAACTTATATAACTAACAGTAACATAATCAATAACACATTTGATAAGGAAGACTTATCACTGACAATAGGAAGCAAACTGACAGTTGAAAACTAGGAGACACATCAAATGCCATCAATCATCACTAATCACAACAGTTTAATCAGTTGCTCACTAATTTTTTGCCAGCCTTACAGGTTTAGCAATATGGTTATACAGTATATGTTCTTACTTTTTTCTACAGAGAAAGAATAGTTTTGTTCAGAAGCAAGATCGTGTACATGGCTTTAAAAAGCTGTAGTTTTTTTTCCTCTTTGTCTAATTTAAATGGTCTCTTTGTGCCTCTAAGAGTTAAAGGGAAATAACTTTATTCTAAAAATAACCACTTTTAACAAGCTTAACATAATTGCACATACTGTATAGAACTTCCAAGTTGACATTTGGAGAATAGTGAAAATGGCACTTAAATCAGTGAAAGGTTCAAGTACAGTATGCTGTTAAATGAATGAGTCAAACAGTCCTTCTTAAGCTAGTGTACACATCATCCTTGAGTTGGAGGTAAAAGATAAATGCACTTGTCAAAGTCAGCTGCTTTAGCTGCATTTAAGATAATTATCAAATGTAACCAATTGGCCCCACAGTATTTCCCAGACTGTGTGCAGCATTTTGGACTTACCTGTATGCAAACAACAACTTAAAGGACTGAGATACTGTCCTATAATTTCTAGGAATACCACCTTTACACTGCTTAAAGCATATATTCAAAATAATAGTACAGTAACTCCCCTAACACATTGGAAAAGAGACTGAAAAGAATGCTGTTTATTAACAGTATGACTAAAACTTCCAACTAACCTGATTAAAACTAAAGTTGCAAACCAGTTCTGCACCACAATAAGCACATTTCCTTTGTCAATTTTATTCACAGTTCTAATTATTTTTCTTGCTGTTTCTATGAGCCTGCCCTCAATTATATTGTTTTCTCGGCCTAATGAGTGCTGTGAGGACTCACTAACACTTGTGAAGACAACACATCCTGAGGAGCTCAGCACAGTGCAGCGCTAGGGACTGATGCTGTTGTGGAAACCGTGCATGCACTTTCACTCATCAAGGTGTTATTTCCTACAGAATCCATGCTTAAGGCTACATCTGCTTAGCCTTCATCCTTCAGTGTATGGTGTTCAGTTTAAGAATAAATTGTATTGTTCTGTGTTTTCATGTCTGTCTCCTTTTTAAGGCAGTTCAAGCAGATTCTTTTCTTGGAAATTCTTTTGGAACATTCTTTTGTGCTGTTTTTTACAGTTAGATGACACCTTTCTTTTTGTTTAAACACAGTGCTTTTCATTTCAATGTGTGTTTGTCTATGGATTGTGACGTGTCTTCTTTTTTTCTCTTTTGGGTTTCTAAACCTGAAATTTCAAGGGTACCAGGGAAGAGGAAATGTTTTGGAAGAGAAGCAGTTGGAGTGTAGGATCTTCAGACAAAGTTTAAAAGTCAAACTTGGTTTAGAACTTTTGATTGGTTGATTGTTATAGCTACTGAATGTACAATTAAAAAGCAGTGAATCTACAGTATAGATTGCAATACTTGTTTTTAAACAGAAAATGTATAATTGTTATTCTTGTAAGTGAAAATTGATTTAACAGCTGACAAAACTCTTCACAGCAAGTAGTTGTTAGTGAACAGTAGGTTGTAACATGGCAAAATGTCTGAGTGAATAACTTACTGTTTAAAAATTAAAAGACTTAACTAAAATTACATCATATCACTAGTTCATCCATTTAACGTGAAACATTTTGAAATACACAAACGTTTTTTTACTGGTAAAGTTTCATTCAGGCATGCATTTTAAGAAATGTTATCAAGAAATTTAGAAATTGAGACCATGGTGTGTTCCTCTTACACTGCCAGTTATATTTTAACTTGTGTAGGTTTTGGTTTTAGTAGTAGAAACTCATTGTATTTGTTTGTCTTCTTCTGGAAGCTGTATGTTTTCAGAATTTCATTTGATTAAATGATTTAAAAAATCACTAATATGCCAAACACTGTATACATACTGTATGTACAAAGATATATGGGTTTTTTTAATGCATGTTAAGCATTAAGTTTTCATCTGGAATTCAATTATCTAAAGAACAAAGAAAACTAAAGAACACTGACAAAATGAGTAATATGTGACATTTTTAATCCATTAGCCGCTTTTATATCTTAGTTGCTGGGTATAATTCTCTTTCCTAATAAATTATAAATGAACTCTACCAGAAGTACCTGGCTTTGTAAATGATACATCAAAACAATTCTTGTTTTTTCTTAAGAAGCTGTGATCTTTAAAATGACAACCTTGACAAATAACACAATGACAGTATGCTTGCATAGACTAAGTATTTCCTTTAAGTAGGAACATCATGGTTTTATGTACAACTTCAGTTTACCTACTACAGAGATACTTTAACAAATCACACAAAGAAACTACTTAATTTTCATGGACTGCAGATCTCTCAGTGCTGAATAAAATCAAGTGAGCTGCTGTGCAGCAAAAGGTCACCGTTTTTCATGTGATGTCAGTGTGTCAGCAAGCTTGAAATACAGCAGGCAATCTGGGTGCAACAGCTGGGCACAGGGTACAGTTTTGTCTTCCCTTTGATCAAACTCCCATTCCTTTTTTGTCCACAAGCTTCCCAGTCATTAACTTGCTTTAACTCTGCAAAACAAATCTTGACAGAAGTCTTTTGTTTCATTGCAAGCATAGAGTTTAAATGCAATGTCAATCAGCAGGACTCATAAAGCTTTTTTCTGAGTCTCTGCTGGAGTTGCATTGTAAACATAATTCTACAGTGTCCTGTGAGATTGCTTTAGTGCTTTCTTTCACTGGCTTTTACAGTAAATGTGTCAGCCAATGAAGGCTATATAATGACTTCAGTCCTTCTTTAAAGTAGGATGTGACTAAGGATCTGCACCTTTGGCTGGAAGGTTGCCGGTTCGTATCCCGCAGCCGGCAAAGGAATCCTACTCCTTTGGGCCCCTGAGCAAGGCCCTTAACCCCAGCTTCTCCAGGGGCGCCGTATAAATGGCTGACCCTGTGCTCTGACCCCAAGCTCCTCTCCCTGTCTGTGTGTCTCATGGAGAACAAGTTGGGGTATGCGAAAAGACAAATTCCTAATACAAGAAAGTGTACAGTACATGGCCAGTAAAGTGATCTTATCTTATTTAGGGCACTTTGAAAACTGGTCCACTGATAATTTTTTCTAGTTTAGGTGATAAACATCTTTGGCTTGTTTTTTTGTATAGAAACTTTACAAATAAGTACAGTATCTCATTGGAATTTGAATGTTTACAAAGGACTTAAATATTTCTAATTTACCTCTAAGACTGTAATTTCTATTGCCATCTGAGTACCTCTTTTTAAGATTATCCCAGTCACCTCTATTATCAAATATTAGATAAAGGAATAATGAAACTAAAAAAATATTCATAACTTTTCAGACATTTTGAAGATAAGGCATTCAAACATTAATGTATTTTTCTCTTCTGCATTAATGCTTCCTAGAGGTTTATAAGGAAGGTAAGTATTCTTAATAGCTCAAATCTATCTAAATACTGAAATATTTTTTTTGCCATCTATGAACTTCCTTGAATATTTCAAGTGCTAACATTTCCTCCCCTGTGATACTACAATGAAATTTCTCTAGTTCAGAAAGGAACTGGAACATCTTTTTTTTTTACCTAACATATGGCGTACAATGGATTTGCATGCAGTCCATATGTCTTTTAACATCAGAATCAGAATATTAATATGAGAAAAACAAACATACATTTCTTTGCCATAAATATCTAGAAATCCTTTGTTTCCTGAACAGCTCTGTTATGACAAGGTGCTGTCTTCCTGAGAGAAATTAATATTGCTTTCCTGTGTGAGTGTTTAACAGAAGCATGCTTTTCCCATAGGCTGCTCAAGGAGGAGGACATAGAACTCTTCTTTATGGTCATGCCATTCTTCTTCGACATTCTTTCAGTGGAATGGTAAGATCTTAAGAGATTACTTGCTTTTGATGACTGATTAAAATTTTCAAGGAATATGGTGACTAGGCTTGTTTCCTTTTCTTACAGAAATGTTATTTTCATATTTTTCAACCCGTGATAGAATTAAATAATATGTTTAGTTGGAAGGTACACCCCTTAGTATTTTAGCAAGAAACTAAGATTCTACTTTAACTAGCGGTGTCTAGAGAGAACTTTGCTAATATTTTTGGCCTTGGTTCCCATCTTAATTCTCAAACAAATTTACTTAGAGTAGCAGTCAAAGGTATTGGCATCCTTCACCTTCATTTGAATCGATTAATCAGATCATTATAGTTTAATAAATAGTATATCAAAAGGTACAAATTATACTGTATCTGCAAACCCTGTGGATTTGTATTGCCACCCTCTTTCTCTGTTTACTACTATTAACACAGTTATCTAGAAATATCAGTGTTCATTTTAAAAATGTAAAATATGTAAATACTGTAAATGTAAAAATGACTAAATAAACACAATTCTTAAATCTGTAAATTAAATTTCCTTAAGCAAACTATACTGGCATTTTAGTTATTGACTGCATTAATCCAGTCAGCAGACTGTAATTCATTGATTCATATTCTTAACCTGCTACAGTGAGACTATTCAGGCTTTCATTTGAAAAACAATATTGAGAGAAAAGAGAGCAGAGAGAAAGAGATCAATGAATTTTATTCTTGAAGGAACATGTTTTCAATCTCTGTTTTTGAGTACATTATTTTTTCCAATGCCCATTTGTATTTTGTTTCAAGCATGTGGATAATACAATATGTAACACCATGCAGGAAAAAAAAATTCTTATATAAAAATGCTACCTTTCAGCATACTTACAAACTATCAGAGGTTAATTAGATTAACATATCCAAAGAAAGAAAAGGCAGTATGCCACAGCTTTTACAGTTTTATGCAAGAAAGTCCTTCCAGTATGAAACACACATGAGGAAAAGGGAAGAAAGTGAAACCTTGGCAGACAGCGAATTAAACAGACTGTTTCTCTGATGGTTCCTGCTGCTGGAGTGCAGTGCATTTCCTGAATCACAACTAAAGGTGCAGAGCAGGAAATAAACATTTAAAAGGGGCAGATAGAGACTAACCGAAAAATCAAGGGAAAACCAAGATTTAGACAAAGATTAGAAGATGGCCTTAAAGGTATATAGAGATTTTCCTTGAATAATTCCAAATAATATTTTCTTATGCATGTGCAATGTCTACCATCTACCCTTTTAAAATATTTTGCAATGTACTGAATAGTTTAAAAAAACATGAATGTCCTATTTCCTTGTTTTGTACATTTTGCAGTACTTAACCTGTCTGACTACATCAAGATCCCAGACGGATAAGCTGTCTTTTGATGTGGGACTGCAAGAGGATGCAACAGGTATTGCAATGCTGACATTTTTCCTTACTGCTGATTGTTTAATTCTTGCATTATAAATTGGAATTGAATGGTGCTTATTACCATTAATTTATGTAATTTTAAGTAAAAACTACTTTGTAAAATATTATTTATCAATCTTGTAGTATTTATTACTTTGATAAATTAAAAGGAATTTGAATAGTAATCCTGCATGAACATTAAGAATATTAAGTTTGAAAACAAAGTAGACAAAGGACGCAGTAAATGTTAACGTGTACAGTAGTTATATTCCATTTAGCTTTGTGATCTTCACCTGCTTAATGAAAAAATAATGTGCTTTGTTATAAACATCTCAGCTGAGCCAACAACAGCCTAGCAGTACTGGTAACGCTGGTAACACTAGAGATAATCTGAAACAGCGTTTTTTGTTTTAGTGTAAAGTGTGCTAATATCTTTCCAGTGCCAGATATAGTAAGCTATAACATTCTCCAAGTAATGGTGAAATGAAAAAAGTATACCTTTCAAGTTTTTCCATAGTAGTGACAACTTTTTTTCAAAGCTTGCATTTTTAGCTTTGGAGTTACTTTTTGAAAAGCAGAACAGACTGGTTTTGAAATCAGACTGGGGATTAAGGAAAAAAACATACTGTATCATTAGCCAATATCATTAATATGGTCTGCAAAGTAAAAATGTATATTCATTACCTACAGTGTATACTGTAGATGACTTACATTTCCAGAGGAAAGCTGGCAGTTGACAGAAACAACAAAATGTGAAATTGAAGTAGCTCTAGATACTTATGTATGGAGTCACGGAAGAGTGCTCCAAACTCCGGATCAGCTGCTTCATGTCTCAATGTGCGCTTACAAAATATTCTGTACATCAGTAATGGATTTTTCAGTGACATTTAAAACATATAGTGTAGTAAAAAATAAGTCTCTTTAAAAAAAAAAAAGCTTTTGTGAGGAACCTTGGATGACCTTATCACGTAATCAGAAATGACTCACAAGTATTTATGTTTAGTATGCAACCAAAAATAGATGCACTGTGTCGAACATAATAATTCATGTAGCGCAAATAACAATTTATATGGCTCTAGGTCTAGTAGAACACTCTAAGGCTGGAACAATTTACTTGTATTAATCATTTAAAGAAGAATGCCTACTTGCATTAGGATGGTACTGTATGAATTGCCTGGTCTTCATTTGGTTTTGAATTTTGTGAAGGAAACAAAAGGAACATTTCCACGAAAAATGTCAGTAACTTTTTTTCCTTTCAATAGAAATAATGTAGATGTGACATTCATACAGTATATAACCAAAGATAGCATAAAAAGCATCATATACCGTACAGTATATCTCTGAAGATGATATTGACTCTTGGAAGGCAAGAAGTAGATTTTATTACACAAAATGCACATACTGTATGTACATCAAGGATTAATGTCCTAATCCTTGAAAACTAATGTTTTAATGTGTGATTGCACAACATTAATAAAATCTATAATGCATGTGCCAAACAGTGTGATTGCTTTTATCGTTTGGAAGGATGCAATCCAAGCACACATGATGTCTGTAGAGTAACAAAAGAATTTGGGTGAACACTGCAAGCTGTGATGTGCGTCTTTTACTTTGTGTCTGTAGGTGAAGCATGCTGGTGGACTATTCATCCAGCCTCCAAGCAGAGATCAGAAGGAGAGAAGGTGCGCATTGGTGATGACCTCATCCTGGTCAGTGTCTCCTCAGAGAGGTACCTGGTGAGTGCAATTCTTCTTTTTATCCATCACCTACAAAGGTCAGCAGAAGGGGACATTTAGTTTCTTTAAAATTCTCACATTTGTGCTCACCGTGCTATCTGACTAATAAAGTTTCTCTAGCTAAATGTAAAGAAAGAGGTGGAGGCTGCACCGAATGACCTATTGCCTACCTCACGGTTCCTTCCAGTAAGTTGTTTATATGGTCTCTTAAGAAGTTCACTTTGCTTTACTGCTAATGTAGTGTGGCCGATACAGTAAGCAGAAACAACAGAGTAATGTATTTATGTGTCATTCCATCTTAAAATAAAACTAATTAATGTACCAAACACAGTACTTTTATCTTGAGATGTTGATGTAAGGTTAGTGAAAGGTTAAATGACCATGAAATGTAAAATGGTCATGATAAATATCTTGTATTACAGGATTATTTAGTGGTCTTTAGGCTCATTTTGCTCAGATCCACACTCATACACAATTTATTTTTTGTTACAATTGTGCTACCAATATTATATATAGACTGGGATTCTCTTTTGGCATTTCTACAGCAATGAAAATGGAACCAGCCTAATTAATCATTTTAGTGCAGTGTTTTGTTCCTTGAGCATCCTGCTGTCGAGTGAACCTTTCCATGTCTTTATTTTTCTCACCACACTTAGTTTCTTTTTAACAGTTTTTCAGGTTTTACTGTCATTATTAAATTCATAATTGCAGCATTGCTGATTTGATTAGATTTTATACCATTTTCTCTCTGAATTCTCATATGTATTATAGTCTGAAGTAACGGAAACCTTTTGATTTCATGGATTTCATGGTCTTGGAATCCCACCAATGGCAAACATCTTATTTGTGACGCACAGAAAATCACGCATCACTCTATTTTAAATCTCTCTCTGGATGGCTAAAGAGAAAGCAAGCAGGGCACTCCAAGGAGACCTTCTTATCGTATTACACCATTTTCCAAGATCTGTGCCACCATAACCTTGTGTTATTTTAATATATAAGACCTCATACGGAAATCACCAGCAGTACCACTTTGAATAATTCAGGGGGGGTCAGCAAAAGCAGGGATCAGCATGGCAGCATGAGATCAGATCTAATACATGTTCTCTCATTACAAATGTTATTGCATTGTGCTAGATTTTTCATTACCATGGATATTTTCATATAATTCATTTACACATGTTTTGTCATATTTGTATTCACTATTGTTTGTGATTTGCAATTTTTGCTAAAACAATAGCTGTAGAAAGCTCCTTAAGCTGTAAGAGGGGAGTGTCGAGTATGTTAGTGTTCCAAACGTACATCTCTGTGTTTCAGGAATTGACTTTTGTGCTTTGTACAAGGTTATTTATTCCCTTCTGCTTTAAATTGGGCAGCTTTAAGAACTCTCTTCAGATTTGCAGGATTAACTGTTTAGAATGGCAAATTTGAATTGCTGCAGTGCCACCACCTTTTAATGTGGATGTTGGGATACCAAAGTGGGAGACCAAATTACAGTATATTTGCTTATTGTTACAACAAGTATGGGATGTTTTGTTTTGTTCTTTAAATCATTTTCAATGCCCACGAACCAAATAAAAAAAAACTACAGTTGTTAAAAACTATAAATAATGGAATCCAAAGACATTCATACTGAATGTCATTGTAGGGATTGAGCTAACAGTTGTATCTGATGAGACTTTGGATTGCTGTATTATTTTGTGTGCTCACTGATAATTTCAAGGTACAACAGCTTGTAGATGGCATTTTTATTAGGGATAAACTAAGGGTCCAGATAGGTTTAGGGTTTACAACGATTTATTTTTTGTTACAATTGTGCTACCAATATTATATATAGACTGGGATTCTCTTTTGGCATTTCTACAGCAATGAAAATGGAATCAGCCTAATTAATCATTTTAGTGCAGTGTTGTGTTCCTTGAGCATCCTGCTGTCGAGTCCATGTCTTTATTTTTCTCACCACACTTAGTTTCTTTTTAACAGTTTTTCATGTTTTACTGTCTGTTCTGTTTCTCATTTATATGGCATGTTCAAGTCAAAGTGCAGTCATGTGTGAAATGGATTCTCTTTTGGCATTTCTACAGCAATGAAAATGGAACCAGCCTAATTAATCATTTTAGTGCAGTGTTTTGTTCCTTGAGCATCCTGCTGTCGAGTGAACGTTTCCATGTCTTTATTTTTCTCACCACACTTAGTTTCTTTTTAACAGTTTTTCATGTTTTACTGTCTGTTCTGTTTCTCATTTATATGGCATGTTCAAGTCAAAGTGCAGTCATGTGTGAAATGGGAGCTACGACCATACAGTTATACAGTAACTGATTCCACGCTATGACGACTTGCTTGAATTAATGTGAGCTTTAGCTTTAACAGGAGAAGTGCTTTGTTCAGAAAGATGCTTTCATATTCTTTTTTTTGTTTTCTACTGTTTTCACTTTCAGTGTAGTAACACAGGTTTTCTTCTTCTAGCATCTGTCCTTCTCTAATGGGAATATACAGGTGGATGCATCTTTCATGCAGACACTGTGGAATGTACATCCTACCTGCTCAGGCAGCAGTGTAGAAGAAGGTAAGTTTAGCATACATTTGATAAGGTTGTTTGAGAGACATTATCAGTACCTTTGAATGAAGAAAAAATTTCATATTATTCCACCAAAAAGTATTTTCTGGCTGTAATATTTGTTCTTATAATAGAGTTGTACTGAAAAAACAGCCTTCATCTTCATAGGCAAAAATTAGAACTGATTAACAGAGATACTGTATCTGACATTTAAGGTGTGCAAATCTACCAGCAAAATAAATAAAATAATAATATTGTCAGCATTAACCTTTGTTTCCTGTCTTGGGTTTGGTTACTAAATAAGGAGAAACGTCACACGCCTCTTGTTTATCTTCTGCCCCAGACAGGATGAGCTATATAATTGTCAGGATTTATATGGATTGCTTGGTCTCTAATTCCAGTTTGATAGGAGAGGGCAAAAGGTAGTACTCGGTATTCTTTGCCTCATTGTTCGAGAGCATAGTTTCCTGTCCTCTTTATGAAATTGCTATTCTAATACAAGTGGATTAGACTTACAGTATGTCTAATGAGAGATGCCATCTCTTTCACTATGGATTGATCTTTTATATCTTCTGTGACTCAAAATAATGAAATATGTTTTTTACCTTTAGAATGTGAATGTGGCTGTGAATATCTCTACAACAGATCAGTCAAATTTATTTTTAAATGTATTCTTTATAGCTCCATTTATAACATTAGCTCCATCTTTTCTCATTCATGACTCACATAATACTCTAATACTGCATGCAATTTGTGGCTAAAAATATGTTTGCAAGTCCTAATAAGAGTAAAAAGACTTCTAAATTGTATCCTTTAATTGAGCATGGGTAAGCCTCAATAAATGATAAATGATTGCAGCAGTCTTGTTGCTTACTGCTTAACATTTGCACTATTGTCAACTTTAATAGTTTCTTCTTGTTCATTTTTTAACATCAAACACACAACCTGATCTCTAAAAGTGCTGGTGGCTGATATGAGTGGCTACACTTAAATGAAAGCCAATTTTATTTAATTTAAATATAAATTCAGTTTAAATATATTCTTGCAAAATGTGCTCGACTTTATATATACTGTACAGTCATTTTAAAAGGTTATTTAAAAAAATAAAATTGGATCAATAAAAAATATTTCAATGTATTATAGTTTAATTACAGCCACATGATATCTATCCAGTGTTTTCCTTCAAAAACTGACTGTGCCACTTTAGGTCAAAAAAGGCCTCTATCTCTCCTATCCATAGGTGACTGTTATTGAATTTGTTCTGACTATAATTGCTGTTAAATCTCCTCATTCTCTTAGGATACTTGCTTGGTGGCCATGTAATGCGTCTGTTTCATGGTCACGATGAGAGTCTAACCATCCCAGGGTCTGACCAAAGTGATGAACAAAGGAGGTGAGTTCTCATTTCCAACTCACTAACAGCTGGAGAATCTACCCTTATCTTTGGTTCAAAGGTTATTCTTTGGATGTTCATTTTCAAAAAACAGTGGATTAATAATTTTCATACTCCTTTGTGTACCCTCTCTAGCGTTCCCAATGGTGGGTCACACAGTATATGCTTTTAAATGGAAATATAGAGACGGAATGGAATTTGTAGATGCATGAATTGTAATTAGTGTACTATGAATGCCACAGTACAGTATGTGTCATGACCCATGTTACGTTTGGAGCCTTTATGGCAAAATTGCTTTACATTTGGGTTGAGCAACAGCAGGCAAAATTAGAATCAATATTTTGATTCAATATTTTAATGAATTACAGTAGGAATGTTATATAGTTATATGTACTATACATATTCAATCTGAGAAGTTTAGACTGATGCTTTCTCACTACAGTTTGGAGTAGAAACAAACCTTAAGTGCCAGTTGTAGAGTGGACAAGGGCACAGTGAATAATGCAGAATCAATTATAGTGTTGTAAATGATGTAAAAAAACAAACTTTGGACAAGTTAAACTTGTCTAAACTCATTGCATGGCTAATATAAAGGTGGAAAACCTTGTGGAAGAGACGTGCTATAAATGACTGGTTAAAATGAGCATGGAGTTGCATTGTGAAGATATATATTGAAGACACATATTTGATATTAGACATATTTGATAAGCTTTATTCTCCTGATAGGGGAGCTGTGACAAAGCTGTCAGTGGGGAGCTGTGTCAGCAAGGGTTGACTGTGAAGGAATAAGTAAAAGTTAATACCATGCTGAAAAGCAGAAAGAAAGATCCATATTTTAACGTTAAGCCTGTTTCAGGTGTGACTGAGGGAAAGGAATTTTGAAGGGATATAAAGCAAAGGACAAAACAGGGAAGGTATGGAAATCCTGGGTAGAAGTGTGAAAAGCTGAACTCAGTTATTTAATAGAGATATTCTAGATTGAAATTAGTCTATCATTAAAATAAAGGTAGCGGAAGCAGGGGTCATGGTTCTCGATAACAGGAAGTTGTGAGTTCAAATCTCACTGAGACATTGCTGTTTTATCCTTGAGTGAGGTACTGTACTTAGTTGTATAAATTGGTACAAATGTACTGTATATGGATGTGTTACTCTGGATAAAATGTATTACTTTGGTTAAATGTGTCAACCAAATGAATTAGTAATTTCTAATTATGTGATGAGGGAAAGATAATGAGGATACTGAGATCTTGGGTAACACTGTAAAAAGATATGGACAGAAAGGTTACTGAAATCATGAATAAGAAAGCTGAAATGGAGAGCTACTAGCTTGAAGAGGTCTTTCATCCTCATACTGTAGCACTGATTTGTTACTTATCTCACTAAGGTAAATCTTAGAATATTTTCTGCAAGATGTAAATGAGGTTGCTACTGTAGATACATTTGATGTATTGGGGTAGACAGGAAGCACCAGCGCAATACATTTGTGGGACTGGGTGTTTTTCACTGGTTTGATGTTTGGCTCAACTTCATGATGTTGGAATTTCCTTTGTCATTATGTAACGAGTTCAGGGAAAGCTTAGTCTGCTGCAAGAGTAGGTATCCTGTCCATTCTAAGACTTGGATCCAGCCAGTATTTTGTTCAATTAATCTACAAATAGCTGTGCAAAATCTGTAAATCCTTAGTGTTGTCCTGCTCTTAAATGTAGCACCTTGTTAGCTGTGGAGGTAAGGGACAAAGCAACCAGCACCACAGTCAGAGGTTTAATACATACATGTATGTTGCTGTAACTGAAAATCTGTCTCCTAAGTAGAAAAAATGTTTCACTATATATGTTGTGAGACAAAAAATGGTGGAATACTAATGTATAACTGGCTTGCAGCAAAGACTGTGAGAAGCTCTACCTTGGAATGGAGATATGATAGGACTGTGCATCTTTTCTGGAGCTGTAGAGTTATTTTTAGGTGGTGTTTGGCAAATTCAGTGGAGATGAAATATTGGTTGTCAACTTTGGCTTTACTTTTAGTCTTGCCCTTGAAATTGAATAGAGGTAACATGTTTAAAGAATCCAAACTTTTTGCCTGGTACATACTGTAAATAAATACAAGACCTGTCACCAAAGTAAATTAAAACATTTTCTAATATATGTATTTCCCACTGAGTTACCACACAGCTTTAATGAGTGTCCTGTTTGAGACTTTCAGTGCAGATTTTACATACTGTTTCAGTATTGGTATTTAGCTTAGGGAAACCAATTAGGGAGCAGAAACCTATGCAGACTTCCAATCTTTGTGCTTTCTTTCTGCCTTGTATCACAAAATATTATTCAGATGGTGGTAAGTAAAAATCAATATTATGATGTCTTGTGGAATGATTACTGCATTATTTTGTTCCCTAGAAAAATATTTTTTAATTGTCATTAATATATTTTATATTTTTGTTTACATACAGTATGTGCATCAGTTAATAGCAGGCATAAGAGATGGTTCATTTTTTATGGTACTGTAATTCAAAGGACATACAGCAATGATATTCACATGCAACCAGCATTGTATTATCTTTTGTGAAATATATTGTGGTATAGTACGTGGAAGCCTGGATGATTGATTGAAGTGTCATGTCACAAGATATTGATGGATGGTTTTGTGGTTCAGATGAGTGATTGACTGCTGCAATAACAAACATGACTTTTTTCATGAAATGCTGAGGTTGCAAACTATTCCACCATTCCCAAGTGGGATTTACTTAGCTTTTTGAAGCTCTTTTTTTCATGTGGGTTTTCATTTCCCATCAGACTACAGCCATCAAGTGTTAAAATGCTGACACTGTAAATAATGAGAGCATTGTTTTTTTTACGTAACTTTTTTATCTGAATTACGAATACTGGTTCTTTGCCTTAAAGAAAGAGATTAACAGCTTTTACCTCACATAAAAAACATGTGTACCATATTAAAAAAAGTATAAAACTTTACCAGGCTCATTAATTAAGCATATTGTTGTATATTGTCAGGATAAAAAAATGTTGTGGCACATGTATGGCTAAATCGTACAGTTCACGGATTATACACAGTAGTGAACAGTACCTCTCTAAATGCCAAAGTTGTTAATACATTCAGTTTTTCAGAAGATTTTCTCATCTGGTAAAGTTTTCCTATTCTGCTGCATTCTTATAATGAATACATGGCATCATTATACAGGTGGATTCAAGCTTGTAAAAGTACAGGGATCTTGTCTTTCTGTGTGCAGGATAGTGAACTATGAGACAGGTGGAGCAGGTGCCCGGGCCAGGTCTTTATGGAGGTTGGAACCACTTCGGATCAGGTAATCCCGCTTCTTAAGGCATAAGGCAGGATGAGTGATAAGCAGCAGAGAAGATCCCAGTTGATATTTTGTAAGGAGACGGCACTTCTATGAGCATCTCTCTAGCACTTTTGCCTCGATAAGCGAGCTGTCATAAGATGTTAGTTACAGTCTGTTGCCTTTCTGAGGCCAGACTTAAGTTCAGATTTTAGAAGGTAAGAGGATTGAATATATACTTCTATAATTATAAACCAGACTCCTAAGCTCTGTTTGTTGACTAATTGTTTCATTTTCAAATTAGATATCATCCTGTCATCCATACCTGTCTAATACCTGTTGATAAAATGTGTGGTACAGTGCACAAAGGATGAGATAGACCTAGTGGTTAGATAGGATGTGTGTTCTTTGCAGCTGGAGTGGGAGTCACATTCGCTGGGGCCAGCCTTTCCGTGTTCGTCACCTTACAACAGGACACTACCTGGCTCTGACAGAGGACCGTGGCCTTGTGCTTCAAGACAGAGAGAAGTGTGACACAAAGTCCACAGCGTTTTGCTTCAGAGCGTCAAAGGTGGGCTCAAAGAGTAGAACCTAGCCTTGACTGTGTGATTGGTCTTGTGAATCCACCTTCACGCATTTGTTGAGAGATTCTGTTCAATAAGTTACATATACCAAGAGGCCTTAAAAACACAACTAATGAAGTTAGTTCCAACACTCATTTGTTGAATATTCAGGGCATCTTAATATATACTGTATATATGAACATTCATGTCCCTTTTAATGAGAAGAATGTTATATTGTAAGATTTTCCTGGCTTAATTTTCCATTAGGCTTGAGACCTTTCAGATATTAAGTTCTTCTTTCCCTCTTTCAGTAATATGTGGTTCTTCAATAAAGTTAATTTATAATTACTGTACAGTATACTGAATGTCAATTGCAAAGCACATGTATAAGAAAGTCTAAATCAAAAGAGATATTTTTAATGTCACTTTATCAATTTTTAAGTTACAATTTAGTTGTGTTTAAGTTGTTGTGACCATAGATGTCACTCTTTCTTTTTAGCAGGTGTTTGTAACCTATTCTACACTGTATATATTAGAATAGTCACAGCTGATACAAAAAATGTTTTCTCTGGAGGGAATGAACCCTTATGAATCTTCTTTTGAGGGGAAATACATATTTTTAAATAATCCCTTCTGTGTAACCAGTAAGATAATATGCTGTAAAGGGAAAATAAATATGGAAATTAAAAAATTGAACATGCTGTTAAAAAACAGTTGCTGCATCAATTAGAATTGACACTGGGTGGCTTTCGTAGTTGGGTTAATCAAGGTAATAAGAATTTTTCCAGTAGTTTTAATCATCAGTGCAATTCATGGCACCATTGTTAGCTCGTTCAATTCTCACCCTTTTTCTTATGCTTTCAATCTACCTCTTATCACACTTTGTTTGTATTTATGAGTCAATTTCAGAAAGAAGTTAATGTCTTTTTTTTTGTCCTTGCCTAACTTCGTTTTGGTGTGTCAGCAAATTTTAAATTGTTTCCCTTAAATGAGGTCACTCATTACATTCTGTTTAGCATAGTAAAAAGTTTGATTAGAATAAAGCTGCTTTTTTTCTGTCCAAGGCACTGACCAAAAAAATAGCTTGATTTTACAGTGGTCACCCTCGAAAATGCCTTATTTAATCATGTGCAATATTGAACTTGTTTTGTTTCCTCCTCAGGAAAAACTGGAATCCAGCCCAAAGCGTGACATTGAAGGCATGGGGGCGGCTGAAATTAAGTATGGGGATTCAATTTGCTTTGTTATGCATGTGGCCAGTGGACTGTGGCTGTCCTACCAAGCACCCGATGCGAAATCTGCTCGACTTGGGCCTCTGAAAAGAAGGGTAAGGACAAAGTCAAGCATCAGTGGTAGTGTGCGTGTGAATCTAGTCGCTAGAGGATTTGTCTTTTTTTTTTAATTGCTCGCATTAAATGTAGATATTTTCTAGTTATTCATTTGTAATCCATTGTGTCTGTCTTGCTTATTTGCCACACACATTCAGAATATTCATAAATTAGATGTTGATGACTGACATAAATGCATTTTATGTCCTACTGCCCTGTCTCTCACACACCTGAAGAAGGCTCCATGGCCAAAACGTTGTGTTCTCTTTCTTCTTTTTTTCAGCATGGAATAAACCTATTCCTTGTTCATAAATGCATTTTGCCATCAACTGTGGCACTTCACTGCTTCCATAGCTTTATGAATGTAAAGTAACGGTCGATTAGTCTTATTACTCAGAGAGAACATAACAGGTGATAAAACACAGAGAAAAGCTTACGATTATCCCTGTGGAGACAGTCTAGCACAGTACAGTATGTAGCCTATTTCCATTGTTCTGGAACTGGAAAGGTTTAAATAAGGTTACCAGATGGAATCCTGTTAACATATGCATTCTGGCACAATTCCTCAGGGGGTAGGATGGCGGGGGGAGACTGTTGCAAATCATTTACAAAATACATTTGAAAAGGCAGCAACTTTACTGAATTAATAATTTGGAGTTCAAATATATGAATAAATCCCTTCCGATTCTAAGGAAGATTCAGATCAGATTTTGTCATCTGTGTGGTATACTGTATACTGTATGTAGCAGAGAAAACCTTCAGAATGTACAATAAATGGTTGTGGACCAAAGTAAAATAGAAAATGTTCGAAAATTTTTAAATTAATCTGACGTCTTGTAATTGACACTTCATATGAAGACTGTGTACAAAACATTTTAGGTTCTTAGTTTGACAAATAATTTACATCTCCTAGACAGTGTATGGAAGCAGCTAAATAGAAAAACAGAATAATAGGATATACTGTATAGGCTAAATTTAAAACATTGTCTCCAGGTTTGTTCATTATATGTAAACGATATTACTGCTCTGGAATCAGTCCAGTGAAGAGTAACCAGATACATTCTGGGATGTCTGGGAATGTCCTACACTGACAGGCTGATGAAACTGAACCTTTTTTAATCTTGAACAGAGACAATTACATAAGGACCTGATACAAGTATTCGTAATTCTCAAAGATATCGACAGAGTTAACCAAGTGGACTTCTTTAGAAGGAACAGTGAAACACAAACCAGAGAAAACAAGTGTAATCTATTAGGACGTTTTCACATTTGTAACATTTCTTATGTCCATGCAGTTAGGAGAAATGCAGTACTGTAACTGTCATCAAAGTGCAATGAGTGTAAAGCAATTTATGAAGATTGTTCAAATATCACTCTAATATTTATGTTCTGACAAGAGTGTACATTTTGCACAGTCCATTATTTGTAAATTGTGACTTCTAGCCTAGATGCTGTACATTGCTATTGTTTTATCTCTGCCTCAGAAGGCAAAAAATAAATCTTCAAAACTGCAATGCTCCAGTTCCTTCAGGAAGCTGTACATTTGCTTTTTAATAGTTTTTAATGTCATTTCAAAAAGATACCTTCCAGCAGAGTTTTCAAGAAAATATTAATTTCATAAAAGAAACAATAGTGGCCTCTTTCCTTGGAGCAGGTGTGCAGATTTAGTTTGTTACTTTGTTAATAATCATGAATAGTGCACTGAAAGTAGAGTCTCATAATTGCCTCTTAATTGCTTAACAGTATGTAACAACAGTGCCAACAGTTGGAAGTGTGCTGCAAATAGGAGGGGAAAAATAAAAACTCCAGGCAATAATTTAGACGTCGTGATAATTAGAAAAGCCATGGCTGGGTAATTTTAGAAAGTGGAATAGTGATTCTGATTAAGCAGCTCATCACTGTATTAGGCATGCCGTTATTACATGGGAAAGTTTCCGGAGATCACCTTGTGATGCTGGTCTATAAATGTCTCTAGGGAAATATCACCACTTGTTTTAATTTTGTAATTGAGAATCTTGTTTAGAAAAATTGACCTTAAATAAAAAAGTAATTGCTGTCTAGCACTTGACTTGGCCAGCCTCATCTCAGAACTCATTATATAGATCTTGTTTAATGAACAAGCTTTCCTACAGCTGGGCATTTCCATCCCATTTTTGAAAAAAATAAAATAAATATGGATGAATTTGACATCTTACAGTATGTGTTGCTTCAGAATGTATCTGTTCATTTTGAGTATGAATGGAACAGAGCTGTAGGAAATTATATTTAGCACAATAATACCAAGGAAGGAAGACAAAAATATCCAGTTTATTATTAAGTGTTAAAGATTGTAATTTCTTAACTATAATGTACCAAAAGTTGTTTAAGGCATGTAAAAGGAGATTTAATGTACAAGCAACACAAATAACATCAGCTCGCTATTTCCAGAGACACAATTTCACATGTTTCATTAGTGCTTCTACAAAATATCAGTTCATGCTTGCTTGGAGGATGTTTGAATGTGAGGCCACAGGAGTGTCCCCTACAGTATGTGCTGCAAATACATTTGATCAAGACAGGACATGGCCCTCTTTAATGTCAACACAATGCATTGCAGTTTTCCTCTTCCTCTACCATCTCTGAATAGTGTATGTCTACATTTTGGAGTCTAAGTCATAATGTATCATTAAAAGACTCCCAAAGTTGATTTAAAAGGAGTATTCTGTGTGAGAGGGTGCAGCTGGATTGTGGATAGCTACTGCTGAGTATTTTATTTGTAATGTTTGCTGAATTTATCCAAATGGCTATTAGTATAAAGAATTTACATATCCCCGGAACAGTGCCGATGTCATTAACAGGCTAATTTGTTTGCTTTTTTTGCTTGTTTTTGTTTCCCAGGCTATTCTTCATCAAGAAGGGCACATGGATGATGGTCTGACCTTACAACGCTGCCAGCATGAGGAATCCCAAGCGGCCCGCATCATACGCAATACATCCAAACTTTTCAGTCAGTTTATCAGGTACGAGAAAGTGAAAATGAAGTCCGAAAAGCCTAAGAAGGGGTCACATTAATTGTATAGCAAACATTAAAAATGTTACTGTTTCCACAAATACACAGAACAGTCAACACCAATACAGCAGACATACAGTACAGTCACCCATCAGTCACACAGAGGATTCAATGACAAAAACACTAAGATAAGATAGTCAGGACTGCACCAGTTAATTTAGATTGGCCAAAAAGCAATTGAACAGGTGCATAAATGCAAACCATTTTAAAGGTTCCATGATAAAATTAATTGTTACATCATTAGAAAATCTATTCACTGCCCTTTTGAATTGCACATTTTCTATCTGTTACTGAATGTCTTAGTTTCACTTGATTTATTTTTGGCATTTCAGAAATAAACAGATCTAATACAGCGATGCAGCGGGAATGACTGCAACACCTTTAATAATGGATATATTGTAATACAGCAGTATGTTTCTACTCTCTTCTTTTTAGTCATAGAGATATTTTTATCCTCTTACCGGGAAGGTATAGTAGATGTGATTTATGGAAATAATTTGTCACAATGACATATTGGTGTAGATCTTATGAACTGTTCATCCAGTGAATATTAATCTTTGCATAGGCCTAATTTAACAGAAGCTCCTGGGATCATATTAGCAGAACAAGCAGACTGTTTCTTGAAAAATTTCCAGTTTTATTTCATATTCTTTTACATTGTATAAAAGATGGTGAACTACTTTTCCATTGTTTGAGCTTGTTAGCTTCAGTTCTGATTTAGCACATTCTCATACTGTATGTATGTTATGTAATCTTCTATACTATGTGTTTTGGAATTGTTTTTCATGTTAAGAAATGAGTTGTCTTTCAGATGGCTTTCAGATTGGCAAAACAAAGGCTTAGCTTTTTAAAGTTGTTCTTTTTCCTCTCGTTTGAATGTGTTTTATATGCCTGGTTTTCCTTGCAATTCTTCCCCATCTCAGTGATCTGGATAGCCTGAGTGGAAAGAATAGAACATCTGTGGCCCTGCCTATTGAGGAGGTTCTGCAGACCCTGAATGACCTCATCACCTACTTCCAGCCTCCAGAGGAAGAGTTAGAGCATGAGGAGAAACAGAACAAGCTGCGCTCACTGAAGAACCGACAAAACCTATTCAAAGACGAGGTTAGAGAGACACCTGTTCTATTGCTATCACAGCTTTTTTTTTGCTCTGGTGTGGAACATTTTCTGATTCTGAAAACTCCATCTGATTTTCCATTTGTGCTTAAGTGATTACAAAATATTCCATTTCACCTGTCTGTTTCTCTTGTCTCTTGCTAGACCAGTAAGATCACAGGCAATGGTGTCTAGATTTTTTCTTTGGGACCAAAGCTTTAGACAGTTCCCTACTAAGCATTTTATCATTTATTTTAAGATCAAAAGGATTTTCTTTACTCACAATTTTCACAATGCTTTCTTAAGCATTTGTATCTCTACCAGGGATTTCCTCTCATTGCATTAAAAGCTAGGGTTGAAATAAGTGAATCACAACATGACAATTTTTGGAAAATTTTTGGATTTAGTTCAATTTCTCTATTTGTTCATTATTCAGTTATATGCTATGGTATGTTGAGATGAAGTGGGACATTAAGCACCTATGTATAAACTAAACTTAATCTCCTGTAGTATCGTTTTAGTTTTAAGATGCTAAATCTTTAGTGAACACACAACAATATTCAGTTAAATATGATACAAAATCTGTAGCTAGACCACCCACAGGGATTTTATGACAGAGATGAAAACTTCACTCATCAATTACACTATAAAATGGAAAATATCTGTTAATATAATAATCTGTAGAATCAGCAGAATAATCTGTGGAAGAAGGATCCACAGCCGAAACATTGTCTCTTTTCTTTTCAACACGGAATTACCTTTACTTGTTAAATGTTAAAGTGAGTACAGGGGATCCCGTTATAAAAACAATAAAGAAAATGACAAATGTTCAAGAACACCAGGAAATAATACATGTTTTATGTTTTTTAGGGGATGCTGACTTTAGTTTCGAACTGTATCGACCGGCTCAATGTGTACAACAGTGCCGCCCATTTTGGAGAGTACGCAGGCGAGGAGGCTGGGGCTGCCTGGAAGGATATTCTGAACCTGCTTTATGAATTACTTGGTATGGAGAATAATCGGTTTATAACTAAGTTTTCCATGACTATGAAAGTTTGTGCACAGCAGGTACTGTACAGTATATGACTGTCAGTCACTCCTAGGCCCCACAAAACCAATATTAGGGATAGCTTTGACTTCATACAAGAGGGGTACCAGCATAACAATTTTGCACAAGGTTCTTCACTTGGGAATCCCCGTCTTCTTCAGTGTGTGATGGTGTTTCCATTTTCACTTTTGCATGGAGGAAGGATGACTTGACCACTGAGCGCAGGAGGACAGTATATGACATCTGTACTGAAGAGTTGTGACATAATCACCCCAAGGCTTTTAATCCAGTAAATACGTTCAGTTGGAGAAACCATTCAATTCAATTCACCAAATGGGTTCAAAGTGATAAAATAAAAATGTCAGGTTCAGTCGTGTTCCTGTCGTTAACTTACACATCCACTAAGGTTAACATTATTAAATAATCAGGTTAAAGTTAAGTTCATGCCCATTAAGTACAGTATGCTAAACACATATAATAAACAGAATATTTAGCAAGATGTCTTGATTACTTTTCTGCTCGATATTTCTGGGTTTTCAGTCTGCTCACTGTTTGTAAAATGTGAATGAATTTTTCAGTTCTTAATGCATTACCTCATTGTTCATCCTATAAATGATTGTGTTGGCTGGTAAGTATTATTTTACACTTCTCTGTTGAAGCATATTACTGTGCCATGCATGTATTCCCATTAAATTAATATCCTGTCCTTGCTATAATACATGATTTAATACATACTGTATAAAGCACTATATCAACCTAATGAGATTTAGGTAAGCCTGTATTTGTTTGTACCACAACTGCATTTGGTCTGCTAATTAATTAATTGCTAAGTATCCAGCAATAACTACTGTATAGAACAAGATTTTGTTTTTCACATAAAGGTTGAAATGTACAGTATTTTGTGCACAATTGCCTCACAACGACCTGTGGTTTTGGTTTTCTGCTCCCTGTGGAACTAAGACAAGTGTTGCAATGTCCTACTTTGCAATATCAAATATTGTTTAGATCCTACTTTGTAATACAAATGCTTAATTGTAACACATCTTCCTAGTGCAGTTCTTGACATTCTGTTGTGTCATCATGACAGCAAATGTTTTTTATGCCGGTTACTACAGTAAAAATGGCCATGATTTACTGATATCCGAATTGCACACTTCAAGCAGTTGTATTATACAGTTGAACAGGCACCCAAATCATCATGTGTTACAAGTCTGAAAGACTCATACTAACTTTACTTGCCCCAGACCCAACATCTATTGCACTATTCTGAGCTACCCAGCATGTTTTCTGCCAGTCAGCAGTCTGGACTCAATCATCAGGGTTTATCTATGGATAGAAAGGGCCAGCTGCATCATTCTGTATGATTCTGTATACAGTATGTGTGCATTGATACATAGAGTTGTAGTTTTTAATCAACAGATATTATTGAAATTCTGAAAGTATATTCCAGTACCAGATTTATTTTCAACATTTCCAGAATGATACAAATCTGCATCCACTTAACCAATTACAATCCTCTTTACAGAACATACCACTAAACCACCCACTTAACAAAAATGCTATGTCAAACAGGAAAGATTATGTTGGAAGACAAGAAATGACTTTATCTTAGTGAATTATGTTAGAACAAGCAAGTGTATGAGAAATGACAGACATGTATCTGTGCTTGAGTTCCTGAAAAAAATGTTGAAAGCTGGAAAAAAACAAACAATCACCGATTAAATTCAGACTCATAGATTCATTTAGATTCAGCATGAATTCTTCAAAATTATTGTTAGGTAAGAGTAAATATCAGTACTTTTTGGTGGTTTATTTCAGCTGCCCTGATTCGTGGAAACAGAAACAACTGTACTCAGTTCTCCGATAACCTGGACTGGTTGGTCAGCAAACTGGACAGACTGGAGTCCTCATCAGGTAATCGCTGTCAAAACAAATATCATGTTAATCTATGTTTTGTACAGTGATACTAACCTCTTTTCTATGTGTCTGCTTGGGCTGTTGATACTGTTTTTCCTTACATTATCGTAACGTTTTAGATTGTTATTGCAATTGTTTTATTTAGTGCTTTTAAACTGGAGTCTAGCTCTTTATTTCTCCACTGGCAGCTATTTATGTGAGTGACAGTAACATTGTTAAATACATGGGAAATGTATTGAAGGTGACTGTTGTTAGCACCCTTCACAGTGCCACTAAGTAGTGTCATGCAGGCTTCCTCTCAAGAGCATCTTAATTCTGCCCCGCAGGTCGGCTGTCTTTAGTCCTGGGCTTCTGCCAAGCAAGAGGCCATATAGTAATGCATTATCTTGAATTTTTATATCTTTGTTTCCTGGCAACAAAACCTAGACTACCAAAATCATTTTGTCTGAAAGCTGCACTGGATTTGTGCTTAATAGTAATAGTTGAGGATCTTGCATATTGTTTCCTCATTATACTAATTTGCATGTTATGTATTGATGAAAACTGTCCAGTGTTCGTGTCCATTATTATAATATATTAAAACTGACTTTTGTCCTCAACATGAAAGTGCTGTTTCTGTCTGCAGTGATCTAATCAATGAGTCCTTTTTCAAAAGATGAACTATGCCCCAGCTGAAATTAAAATGCCAACCTTCCCATCAATCACAAATTAAGAATACTGTATCCAATTTTACCTTTATATCGGCATTCCTTCTACCTATTAGAAACCCCAAATTAAGAAGTGGGCTTGTAATTTGCAATTACTGGCTGGTTTGAAATTATATTTGATCTTTCCCTTTTCTCATCAATTATGTGTCTATAAACTGCCATTTTTTTCCCATTAAGGAATTCTTGAAGTTCTTCACTGCATCTTAATTGAAAGCCCAGAAGCCCTGAATATCATACAGAAAGGTCATATCAAATCTATCATTTCCCTTCTGGATAAACATGGACGCAATTACAAGGTATGTGGGAACTCTTTTATAGATGTTTGCTATGAGGTACATGTGTATGAGTACTATAAGACTAGAAATGAAGACTACTGTCTAACTTGTCCCCAGAGGGATAAAAAGTTGTCTCAAGGACTGAAAAATGTGACATCTGAATGTGAATAATGTGGTGATCTTAATGAAGTGGTACGTGACATTTATCTTATTGCTTCCTTTATACAATAAATCACAGTTGCAGTAAGTTGCAGTTGCAGTGCTTTTACAAAGATCAAAGACACTTAATATTATTACCTAGTTGTGACATAAATGCACTGTAGTACATTTAATCTGATGTAGTTAAAAGATATGAACTAAAACCTTGATGTGCATTAGGAGATGGATGTTCACACTATGAAGTAGAGTATGAAAAATAGATGATGTTCATAACACATGGATAATGTGATGCATTAGTTTGTAACTGATAATGCAAATTTCTTACTGTTTGTGTTCTCAGTTATAGTTATTAAAAACAGTACTATTTGAATTTACTATTCTACTATACATTAAAATATATTCTTAATTTACATTTTGTCATAGTTTATCGAAAGTTGACTATTTTGTTAACAAAAAGTGTGCTTACTTTTTTCGTGGTAACTGACCTGGTAACAGACTCTTCAAGGTTTCTGTCAAAGGTTTACTTTTAATGTTGGTGACAGGCTATGAAATAGAACTTTAAAGAACCTTAGATTCTGGTTTTATCTGTACCAATTTTAAAGATACAACACTGTTGTAGAATGTGTGTAAAAATAATTCTGCCAGAACCAATTTCATCTTTAAAATTACCTGCAAGGAGCCTGGTTTTGGCAGAGTAGATATGACATGTATATTGTTTATTGTATGTGAATAAGCACTAAATCTGTATTAGAACAAAGAAGTCATTGTGAATATTGTTTTCAACATTTTACATATAGTATAGAGCGTAGTATACATTATATATAGTATGCACATATATAGTATAGTATATAGTATACATAGCATAGTACACTGTATACTATATACAGTGCATATAGTATAAAGTATTTGGAAGTGACATATTTTGTGCTGTTTTGGCTCTGTACTCCAGCACATTGGATTTGCGAACCTGCCAAATTTAAATTAAGAGTATGTTAATGTGTCCAATTACTTTTGTTCCCCTAAAATGGGAGGACTATGTATAAAAAGGGCTGTGATTCCTATATGGTTCACCCAATATAGATGTAAATACCCTCGAATTAAAGGTGACATTCTGCACTTTAACCTCATAGTCATTGTTTCATTTAAAATCCAATGTGCTGGAGTACAGAGCCAAAACAACAAAATTGTTTCACTGTCCAAATACTTACGGACTGCACTGTATAGTATATAGTATACACATTTTCTTGTATTGAAATGGCTTTTGCTAAGGGAGTTGTGTGTAACTGGAATAATCTCAGCTTTTAATTGTCAGTGTATCCTTAAAATTCAGTGTTGTTTAGTCACAAATTATATCTGCAGGATTCTTGCAATATCATGAAGAAGAGCTGCAATATTAATCATCTTGTCCTGGCTAAATGCCTTTGGCTAGGGCTATTTTTCAAGTCCTTAATTCCCTTTCTGTGTAAGGAGAGGGCTACAGTCCTGAGTAGTAGAGTAGTAGCAATGTGAAGGAAAATTTTGTACAATCAATGTTGGCATTTTATCCCCTATATGAAATTTGGCAAATACTTGATAAAAGGAGTTTCTCTGGTTGTTGCATTCCAATTATTGTACAGTATGTTGTTTTTCTGATTCTATTAATTCAGAAGGAACATAACATTGCTACCTGAGCATTCCACAGCCAATTTGACATTTAGTTAAAAAAAACAACTCCCAACACATACAGTACAGTAGTAAACAAGGGATTTTTATACTTACCTTAAAATCCCTCTTCTTGTATATTTCTTACCTTTCTTCTGACTAAACTACTTTCCAGTCTGGGGAATAAGCACTCATTAGGCATGTGTGAGGGGTACCTCAAAGGGCAAGGCCAAAGGCCAAGTGATTCATTTTAACAGATTATTTCAATATAACACTAAAAGCCATCAACTGTATATGTTGTACTGTAATATGCTGTTGGTACAGTATATTGTAGTATATTATGTCTATGCTCTTTATACAGTATATTATCTAATCATAAGTAATCATAAATTCTCCTAACTTAACCAAACCATTCTTCTTTTAGTCTCAAATCTCTTTTAACATTTTAACATGAGTATCTTCTTACTGTTTGTGTTATGCACTTCAGAGTATTTATGTCTGCAATTGAAATGGCTTCTGAATTATTTTAACATTAATTGAGATAAACATTAATAAAAAATGGATACCTAACACCAACATGTAAAACATTAACTTGTACTGTAGTATGTAAGGTTAATACGGTGCACACTGATAGCAATGATCTTTTTTTCTCTGGCTGTGTTTTAGATTTTGGACGTGCTGTGCTCCCTGTGTGTATGTAATGGAGTGGCTGTGAGAGCCAATCAGAACCTCATCTGTGATAATTTGCTTCCCAGAAGAGATTTGCTTCTCCAGACCCGTTTAGTTAATGATGTCCAAAGGTAACAAGCTAATCAATTCCAGTCAGCTACTGCATTCCTTGTTTAGTAGGACCTCATTACAATGCAGACAATTTCATTATGTGCAAAGACTGCATGTTTTAGCACATCTGTGTTTTAACATTAACTGTTAAAAATCCACAATGCCAATGTATGAACGTTTGTGTTTTCAGTTAATGAGGATTTGGCTTTGCGTACTTTTTGAAAGAGTGGTGCATTCTTAAAAGGATTGAATTATTGAGTCCTTGAATCAATTAGCCTTGCTGAGACGTGCTCAGATATTACAACCATATTGAACTAATGCACTGACAGTAAAGCATATTTTATTTTTTTCTGCACAGCATGAGGCCAAATATTTTCCTGGGGGTCAGCGAGGGCTCAGCCCAGTATAAGAAGTGGTATTATGAGCTGATGATTGACCAAGTTGACCACTTTGTGACGAGTGAGCCCTCTCACCTGCGAGTTGGCTGGGCCACAACAAAGGGGTACGCCCCATACCCAGGGGGAGGAGAAGGCTGGGGAGGGAATGGTGTTGGAGACGACCTCTACTCCTTTGGGTTTGATGGACTTCACCTTTGGTCAGGTGAGTGAGAATTAGGAATACCTACTGATTAGTCCATCGTTTCCTTCTTCCTAACTTATTATCATTATCTGACCCACTTGCCTGAGTAGTTTAGCATATCTTCATATGTTTCTCAGGATGGGAGTTATTGTTTTGAGTCTCGTCTTAACTCCGCTTGAATAACAATTTGATTTTAATAGCTCACTTGTCAGATTATTTTCACGTACTCTATATGTTGTTCCTAGAGACTTCTGAAGATATAAAGTGACTGATTTAAATATTTAGAGCAATGACGGGATGAAAATGTACAGTATCCTACAGCCACTTACTGTAAGACTTCAGTTTAGCCAAATACATTAAACACTGAAGTTTCAAAACCTCCCTCTATTCTTATGTATGGAATGTTGGTACTGGGTTTATAAGAAAAGCTTTTGTATTCCTCATAGGGCGTATTCCTCGGGCTGTGGCTTCCATAAATCAGCACCTCCTGAGCTCAGATGATGTTGTCAGTTGCTGCCTAGACTTGGGAGTACCCAGCATTTCATTTCGGATCAATGGGCAGCCAGTCCAGGGCATGTTCGAGAATTTCAACACTGATGGCCTCTTCTTCCCGGTGGTCAGCTTCTCTGCTGGAGTCAAGTAAGTGTGAAGAAAGTGGCTTCCTAATATAAACAAAGAATTTATCAGCTTGTACAGTATTTTTAGTGCATGTGAAACATAATCTATTCAGACAAAACTGGAAATGATTAGTCAGAAGAGGCTACCTTTTGAAAGCGACTTAGATGTTTATGTTAACACATCTTGTTAAAAACACAAAATAATGGAATGTAAAGTATAGTGTTACAGCTATTGGAGGTGGATGCCGAGGTGTCATAAGAAATTTCGAGACAGTGGTCAACATCTAGTGTCAACATTTGCAGTTCTTGAGAGCTTCAAAGCAAGAATCGAACTGAGGTGTTTGCTGAGTTGGAAGAGGTCTGAGACACATTGATCAAAGGAAACATCTGGTTTATCTTGGTTGATTAAGTTCATGGTACAGTAAATCATTAAGAGTCAGCAACAGTCCAGGAAAACTGGATAAAAGTTTGCGAACGAGCAGAGAGGAGAGAAGGGCGTGACATGGATGAAAGACCAAGAGAGAAGAAACAGTGCCAGATGAGATGTTCTTTTTCTGATCAGCTTTTAAGACCAGATGTAAATGAAGTAATTGGACCTGTGTCTTAGGAAACTGATTTCCTTCACAAATAATCCCTAGGTTAAAAACAGTCCCTCTAGGTTTATGTACAGTATACATTTTTTTTAGAATTAGGGAGATAGGTTCCCATTTATTTTGTAGTATCCATATTTATATAGTGATTAAACTCTAGGTTATGTTCTGTTTGGTTTTAGATAGCAGGTTTTTGCAGGATTTTAGAAATCTCTGTTTTTGGCCTGATAGTCATTATATTGGATTTGAAAATGAAATTGCGGTCTGGAGTTTTTTTAGGTTGGTCAGGATGAAGTCTTCTGAGACATCTTGTTTTTAACTAAAGTTACTTGGAGTTTTATGTTGTGTGTTGCTTACTTGTTATTATTGTCATTATTAAGAGATTTTCATTTATGCCACACTCCTCTGATTTATTACTTCTTTGCCAAAGCTGTGCTGCAGAGCAAAGATCTCAAGTGTCTCTAATTATACACTGTTATGAGACATTTACACAATTCTAATTCAGGTTTATAGTTTAGTATTAGTCAATTTTCTGCCTGATAATGAAAAGTGCTTGAGCATAATATTTAAGATGGAGCAGTTTAAATGCAGATGGTGAACTGTTTGTAGTGCTATAAATTTTACGTTCATACTGGCAGATATAACCAGGTCAAATAATCGTATACATTAAGTAGACAAAACATAGATAATTATACTGTACATACAGTAGACTAAGACTAGACTAAAACATAGACAATTATACTATATAAACCTAAAGAGATTCTTTCTTTAGAATTATAAGTGAACAACATGTTAGATAACAAGTGGAAACATACTGTATACTTAGAATCAGTAACTTATCCCTTGTAGGTACAGTATTTTTTTTTTTTTTTGCAGGTGCACTTGGCTATGTTTAACAGGTTAAACTGCCTCATTACCTGTGTTTAATCAGCTCTCTCACTGATGAGATAATGTGATGCTTATACAACTGAGTCAATAAAACCCAATTGTATTATGGTCAGTTATGAATGATTAATGAAAATGATGAATAAATGAATAACAAAAATATTTAATCAATGCTCAAAATAAGTATAATTTATTTTAGATTAGTCTATAATTATTGTAAATTCATAAGGTATAGATTGTGAATAGTCAAGGTAATACATGATGTTTTTATACTGTATGTGATTCCTACCTGTATATGAAATTGTTTATTTGAAAAAAAGCTAATATCAATATCCTGCTTTCGCTTTGATTAAGGATTTTTAGACCACTAATGAGTGGTTTACTTTTTCTAATTATTCTTAATAAGATTATGTGTGCTGTCTAAATTACCTAATCCTCTCAGTTGGAAAGGCTTTGCAAGTACCTGCACAGAATACTTTAAACATAGTTATCTTTCACAATTCCTCTTAAGAAATAAGTGACTCATGACAAAGATGAAAAATAAATAAATCTTCTATTAATTAATTACAATGTTAGGTAGAATGAATCACCTTCCTGTGTTGTAATAAAAGCACTTCTGCAAAATAGAAATAAAAAATGTATTTGTTATTACTAAATTTTTTGTATACACTGGCAATCGACGATGATTGTCTACTATGAACCTTAAGATTACTGATAAGGGCAGTACAAGAATGACACATTCTCCAAGAGATTGAGTAGGTGTGTTGTCATGGGAGATATCAGGTGGTGTGCTGAGCAATCCAGTCATGGTGAGCGCTTTTCAACACCCTCACTTTACTTCCTAGTTCTGATATGTTCTACCTACTTCTGATAAAGTGCTGGGCTCCTTTCCAGATATCCTTCCTCCATCTGGTCAATATCAACTCCTAGGCTCAATATCAGGTTCCCTTGGCTGGAAGAAGAGAACTGGCTTTGGTAGCCTGGAGTCTCATATCTGGACAATATGACCAACCCAATGGAGCTGATGACTAATGATCACAGCTTCAGTGCTTATGGTTATGCATGGATGAGAAGACTGATGTTGGTGCATCTGTTCCCTTGGTATTTAAAGTGTTCTGCAAACAGAATTGGTGATTTGTCATGTAAATTGGTGATATCCAGTCATATCAGGTCAATTCCATTCTATCTTCACCATTCAGTGCAGGATTTGATTGAGGTTATACTTTAAAATCTTAAGATTAATAAAACAGCATTTTTCAGGGGTTGTTTGGACACCTATACACCTTACAGTTTCTCAATTTGAAGCAGTAGTGAACTATACAGTAGCAAAGAAATACCAACATGCTATTTTTATTAATAGTTGATCACCATGCATAGTATCATTTTAAGTACTGTGTGTCACTGCATCTTCTAAAACTACTGTAGCTGCAGTTCATAATACCTAGTGTAAAACTAAATGTCATATCCATTTATAGTTTTCAGATTGAACTGTACATTCCTTAATGCAGACTGGCTTTCCCAGCTGCTTTGCATTTACTCAAGAGATGTCTGCTCTTCAGTGAGATATGTGCAAACTATAATAACGTGGAGTGAGCCGACTAAGGAAATGGGTATCTTAGGGGAGAAATAATTTAAATGAATTTCAATTTTATTTTTGAATTTTTTGACGTAAGCAAATGGTGTAATCCAGCCCCCCATTTTGCTGGGTAAAAATGACTTAGAGAGTATGCATTACAAGATTTTTTTTTTCTCCTATTAACTAGAGTTTTATACCCCTGTTTTATTCATTTTAGCCCTCTTTTGCATTTTCTTTTCCTTGGCCATTCAGGATGACTTGTGCATAAGTGGAGGGGTGATAACCTGCTGTCTTGGGTAGACTCCACTTAAAGCTTGCTCAGTCTGGCCTGCATAATGCTCCTTCTTAAACTCAATTGCTAAAAACAGTTTCTCATTTTTACCCCTGTTCTGCTATAGTATGTACTTGGAGGTGTTATATGCATTGAATAGCTGACATGTTACCCATGTAGATGCTGCACTTCAGTGGTGGATTAATCAGGTAACCTCTTACTGTACTGTACATGTACTATAGAATGCTTTTTGATCTTTTTAGATAACACAAACTGTGTAAAATCCACAGGATTATTACTGATATGTTTTTCTAAATCTCATGCAAAACCCTACAAAAGTAGTTTGTAAGTAAATGCAATTACTATATATCACAGTCCACAACCATCAGAGTATATTATCTCTCTTGTTTTCACTCATCTGTTTTTGAATGAATAGAATTTACCATGAGCCTAGGTTTTAATGTTCTGTAGAAACTACTAAACAACACAACCATGTGTTCATGATAATAGCTTAGACATTTTCAAAGATGAAAAAAAAATATCGGTCACAAATCATTGAAATCCATGTAAAGCACTAACAGTACAATATATTCCATTTTGCTAATGAAGCAAAATATTGGTGAAGGGAGAAGAATTGAAAAGACTTGGTTTTGACAGTCAAAGTAAGACTTGCAGATTCAGCAATAATGGGTGCACAAATATTTTGCTGTCATATACAGTACACAGCTTTTTATTTTTGCAGTTGGCAGTCAAGCAGCTTATGTCAGTGTACAGTGTCTTATCTCTCCCTGTGGCCATTTTCTTCCATATCCATTTCTCCTATGAAGCCATACAGTACCTTTCTGTCCTTCACTCTGTTCTCCCCTTCCAGAGCCTGTTCATTTTCTACCCACAGTCCTTAGTGGTTGTATGAACTATCCACAAAAATCAGAACTGCTCAGTCCCTGATAATTTTTGACGCCTGCTTAAGATTAAGATTCATACTTTAAGACACCTGTGACATCTTATAAATTCTTTAACTCATACACCATTTTGTACCCATTTTTTGTTGTTCTCAGACTGATAATGTAATTTGCAAATTGCACTTATTTATTGTCAGTATTGGGCATCAGCTTAGCGTAACTTTAATTAGGAAAACAACTGTAGTTAGCTGTTTTGGTGACTGGCTTTATAGTAGTGAGTAACTTTTATTTAAGCTATACTGTATGGAGCTCCTGCTATTGTCTCTTTTTTATGCGGTTTTCTTTTTGACTGATCTTGCCTAGTTGACAAGGGTCTGCATAGCTGTCCTCTTTCTTGGCAGGGTTAGCTGCTGAAGTCTGATGAGCTGTTCAGGAACCCCTGATTGCTATAGCGAAGACTGTGAAGTTACTTTCTCAAAAGTTTCAGTTTTAAAACACAACATTAAAGGTTAGGGTGACTATTTCCACAAAACAATGAATGGTTTGAGACAGAGCAGGAGTTTAAAGTTTCTCTGATACTCAAAGCAGTAATTATTACACCTGAGCATTTCCTTTATGTTATTCCTTATATTATTGTAATATATAATATATTATTATATTATTTCAAGATCAGACAATCAAAGAGAGTGTCAGTGCAAATTAGGGCTGTACAATAGATTACTTTTCAGGTGACAATAAAGATAACTATTAAGTAATTGTAACTGAAAGTAATTAAAGATGGATTTTTTCTTAATTCTGTAAAACATACTGTACGTATAGTATCATAATGAAAAAAATAACTAACAGTGAATATTCAGCAAAAATCTAGAGCTTGGTAAAATGAAGCTTACTACAATGATTCTGTTGTTTAATTCCTGTAATGTTTTGTTTTTCATTTATTATTTTCCTTTTTTTATATTGAAATGTAGTTATGAGAATAACAAGTTACATTTTCCAATTAGCGTAGTTTATAGCTTAATGGCATATTGTGTATCTGTCTACTTTATCAAAGAGTAACATGTAGCTCTAGATAGCTATTATTTTTTTTAGCTCTTCCTACACTGTTTACAGTAAACATGAAACAGATGCCACCAGGGTGTTTAGATTACTGCTTTTTTATCCACTCCATCTGTATATTTGATATTGTTACAATTAGATTCTGACTTCAGCTTGCTTTGCAAGCAAAGTATAAAGATTAGTAATGTTACCCCCTAAAGTCTGGGAATATTGAGCATTACACAGCATGTGTATTCTTTATTCTACAGTTATAACAGAGTAATAATCAGGACTAGACAAACAAATGCTTATTAACAATACATAAGAAAACTGCAGTATACAGTATAACAACACAGTTTACATAACATGCACCAGTTAAAAATGTACAAATCAGTAAGCTTCAGAAACTTCAATAGACGCACTGTAGCCCAAAATTCTGTCCTTATATGTAAAAACTGGCATAATACACCTATATATCCTATATAATTGAGAACATGCATTGTAATAAGATGGATTCTTACCAGGACTAAATTTCCCTCTCTAAAGAGATAGTCCCAAATGAATTGGAACCAATTTCCCCCTTCTACACAAAGGCATCACAATAGTAGGAGATATGTGTGTAGCCTGTGGATTCCACTGTAATGCCCCAGAATACAGAATACAGCAAGCTCTCTTCTATAATGAAACTCAGCATTAGGTATTCAGTGTTGGTTTGTATGTTTCCCTGGATCTCTGTTTGTGTATTTATGCTATATCTTACTAATATATGCAGTGACCTAAGAACGGTCCAGTCACTGTTGAATGTTTATTCCTCAATATGGTGGTCTTAATAATTTACAGTGAAGTTTTATCCTGAGTCAGTTTTAGGACTCCCTTTGATCTTAAGTGCTCTCTGCCTCAAGGACAGCTAAACAGCCAAACAATAGCCATTGTTCAACTGTCGTTTGTTCAACTGTTTCAACCTGCTGAAACTCCAGTCACAGTAATATTGTTGTAGTTGATAATTCATTTTCAGTTGACGTTTTTAACACTTGTTGCAAACACAAACATTGCCTTAATAATATTTTCTTATTTATTTTATTGTACATGCATTTTGTCGTGTCTGTTGTACTAAATGTATATGTATATGCTAAGCAAAAATACTGAAGCAAAAAATCCCATTTACAAAATAAGAGTAAATGAAAGAAGACTATTTGCGCCATCTATCTCATTTAGGCTTTTGTATCTTATTTTAAGAACACAAGAAATTATTACTGTCTTATGTTTATGTTAGAGATTTATACTTAACAGGGAAACATACTGTAAGTAAACTAAGGGAAACTAGAATGATGCTGTATTTACTATATCTAAAGTTCATACTGCACATAGGCCGTTATTATGTACTAACACAAAAAGAAATGGCTCTAATTATCAAATTCGTGCTTTATTTTCACATATATTCATCCTGTTGGTTCTAATATACTGTACATAATAAAGTTTTGGAGTCGTTTAATCAAAGATTTTCAGTAGGAGCAGTTTGTATCATAGGCCATATTTCTTAAAATGATAAATGGTTGTATTACCTTTCGAGCTACAAACATTTTGAAGCTTAGGACACGAGGAATCATTCCTTAAATACGATAGGTTTGACTAAAATGGGTACTTAAAAGGCGCCTGGTTTTCTTTTTTTTCTTCATTAGGGTGCGTTTCTTGCTGGGTGGCCGCCATGGCGACTTCAAGTTCTTGCCCCCCTCTGGCTATGCTCCATGCTATGAAGCCCTGCTTCCCAAGGAGAAGATGCGGGTGGAGCCTGTGAAGGAATACAAGCGGGATTTCGAAGGCGTACGGGATTTACTGGGTACCACTCAGTTCCTTTCCCAAGCCTCCTTTATCCCCACTCCTGTAGAAACTAGCCAGGTAAGCATGAGAATCTCTGTCCTGGGGTCATTTTGCAAAACCCTCTTTTTCTTAATCTTCTTACTCAGTGGCAATCACAAATCTTTAAAATATTTAACACTAACCACTCTATTTCATTAGAATAGCATTAATGTCCAATGCCGTTTGCTTCATCATCTTTCGGAGCTCAGTTTTTAATGATTAGAAAACATAATGTCTCAGCCCTCAGGAGCACATTCACCTTGCCCATGGCAAGGGGATTGACTATCAAGGTGCTAAGCACACTGTTTTCAGTCCCCTTCAAGAACAATCCTTTTCTTTCTTGCTGTACACTGTAAACAGCTGTGTGTTGTCCAATTAAATGATAGCACTAATAGATAATTACTTCAGACTGTTATCATCTTTATTTGATTTAAGAAGTATATAAGACAGTTCACAGGAACTGTGTCTAGCCAGAGTCTGTTTTATTTCCATGTACTACATCCTAATAGGGGCATCACATGAGAAGAGCAGAGTCACTGATATTAGCAAGAGCCTCGACAGGATACTGACATTTTTTAATGAATTATTAAAATTATTAAAAAAGAGCTCCAGAACATCATAAAGCAAACAAGTGAAGGAGCATATTAATATTTGTAGGGAAGATAATGAGGTTTGAAAATGAGCATTTATCATCTAGATCATAAAACTTCTTTCCTCAAAAGCTAAATGCAGATTTACTGTATATATTTAAATTATCTACAGATACGACCAACCTTTACGATCAGAAAATGGAGCTGTAAACAGAAAACGCAATTAATATTTCAACGAACAAATGAAGAAATAATCCCTTAAATAAGCCACATTCAAATAATACTTGCTACAGTATATACAGTACATGACCAGTCAAATGTCTGCACAGGAGTCCATTGCTATGCATGATTACACAAGATTGTATAATATTTTTAGCATTTTTTTGTTAATGAATTTATATTGTAAATGTATACACTGATTACCTGTAAAGATATCATTGTTGTTATAATAAAATGACAAAAAATCATGATACAACACAAACCTAGAAACAATTCCTGTCCCTCACTGTTTCATACCTATTTTCTTATTTCTTATAATTTCTGATAACCCTGCAGTAGGAAATCTACCTCACCCTTGTTATTGTTTAAATGCTTGTTCCAAGAAATGTGCTAATAGAGTTATTTATTTTAAAGGGTATTGTAAAGAAGAATAAGTGATCCCATTAAATATTTTTTAGATTGTGATGCCTCCACACCTTGAAAAAGTCAGAGATAAATTAGCAGAAAATATCCATGAATTGTGGGGGATGAACAAGATAGAACTTGGTTGGTCCTATGGCAAGGTATGTTAATTTTTAAAATATGTGCATGCTGGCAGGAAATCATGACCACAGCTTGTTCTCTGTAATGCTTCCCAGACACTTTTGGGTCATGGAATGACATTAGCTTCAACCACAGGTCTTCTGTATCAGGTTAGCCATTGCAAATATTAATGTTGTAATCCTTATTTTTTTTAACCTAAAGTAGGGTCCGTGAAAAATGTCTGAAGATGTTATAGCAGTTTCTTTAACCTTTAAGCTTTCCAGTGTTAAAGGTTTGTTACTTTATATTAAACAGGAGATACAGTATATAGGAAGGATTGCTTTTGTTTAAATTATCAGCAACATTTGGAAGTTTATTATAACAAATAAAAGCTACAGATACACATTAGTGGTATAAAAATGTGTTTAAAACTATTAAAGTTTGGTTATATAATCTGCATGGATTTTAATGTACAGTAACAGAGTATAGTATTAAGCCATCATTCAAGCCAAATTTGCTTGTGGATCATGTTGCTTTCTCTTTTATAATTTGCGGTTCACATTCTAAACAGAAGGTAAGTTAAATTCTCTCATTGACTTTGTTCTTCACTCTCAATTTGACCATGCATTTCCAGATTTATCATTTGTTTTTGTTGTTTTGCTGTTACGCAAATAAGAAAAAAACGAGGAAAACAATGTAAGAAAATAACAAAGATATTGAGTGACCTATTGGAATATTAACTAGTTGTACATAAAGCATGAACCCATGAACCTCTCCATTCACTATGGACACAAGAGAACCACTAACTCCTGGGTCATGAGATGTTTGGTATGTCATCACCCAAAGCTATGACAAAGCCCAATGACAATTAGGAATGCTCCCAAATTAGTAATTGAGAAATTGGAGTTTCCCTGTGGGATTCTCAACTAACTTTCTCCTAGGTTAATGACTTGCTCTGAAATGTCTGTGTGACCCTGATGCCGGGACACAGAGTCTCTCAGCAGGATTCTAAACATTTTTTAAATAACTCTGTTTTCTCAAATGACTCTTCTTTTGATCTGTGAGAAATAAGCACAGATGCGCCCCTAGATTATTTTTTTTTTATGTGCAGCCAGCTTGGACCCTGAATTCAGTAATTTATCTGCCTCTGTTGAGCATTCAGTTTTTTTGATGTGTGTATACCAAAACAATATGTAAAACACAGGGCTGCATTTACTAATACTAAGAACCTGCAAATCATGCGTAAATGTGCTTATTCTGTACATTTCTTAACATAGGCAAATACTGTTGTGTCCCAATACAAAATAGTCTCTACTGTAGAGTCACTGAAAGGTGCCGCTTAAATGATTTAAATCAAGTTTAGCGTGTCAGCGATTTCTGGAAATGCTGTTAGTGAATTGCACAGTGACTTACCCTAAAATAACTGTACCTCAAACCCTAGGAGAGCCAAGCTTAAGTGTTTTTACGTTTGTGATGGGAAATACTTGAGACTGTTTTTCATGCCCCTTCAGACATTATCTAGATGGAACGTCTAGAAGAGCTGACTGAGATTTATTTAATTATACATAAATGTCTGTAGACGTAAAGGAATCATTGTTACTATCTCAATCATATTTAAACATGTTTTCTTGGTCAGTTTATGTAATCAACTTCATTATTCTTGGAATGATTTTACATCATCATTTGGGAAATTACTATAATTATATTTTAGATAATTAATCCAGTCAGGAAAAGCTAATAGACCTCAGCTTGGTTCCTTAATTGGTGTCTTGGCATTGCATTATTTGTATAATCTGAAATGCCATGTATTTCTTCTGCATTATGAGAGTCTTATTTCTTTATACATATTTAATAAGAATTACCTTTGGGGGTGCTTTTCTTATCAGTTTTGTTTTAACATTTTTTTAGTAAATGTACAAATTGTTAGAGAATACTGCATTGAAAGATCATATCTTCTTTGCTATTTTGGAGCAAAAGAAAACAAAATGGAACTGTTATTGTTTCCAATGAAAGCTCAGAAATCATAAATAAATGCCCTGTAATTTTGTGACAATTCCTGGGAGCTCCTCGAGAAACATAATACCTCAGTCTGCCAAATTTATTTTGGGGGGTTTAAGAGTTCAAGGTTCCTTTACATCCTCTCACAGATGTTAATGTGTAAAACTTACTATATGTGCTTCGAACCACAAAAATACACACAGAAAACATTGCTGACAAAATACTCACCCAAGAAAACATGAAACATGCAACTAATCATTCATACCATGTTCAACTGCCTCTATATTTGCAATAATATTCAGTAGTTGTACTGTAGTTATAGTATAGTATTTAAGCAGTTGGTTTATAAGTAACCTTAATTTTTTAATGGTATACAAGTATTAATGGAAGTGTGGAAGTGGAAGTCCCACTCTCTCGACCTCAGAAGCCTGGGTCCAGTGGTACGAGTAGTCGTTATGACTGGAGAGACTTCCCTGGTTGCAGTGGATGACCATGATGCCTTCCTGTGCCTTGTCATGCCCTTTGCTTTCCACTGAGAATTGCAACAGTATAGTGTCCCATCACTATACTGGGGCATTAGGACCCACACAGACTGCAGGGTGAGCACCCCCTGCTGGCCCCACTGACACTTCTTCCAGCAGCAACCTTAGTTTTCACAAAGAGATAAATAGATGTTTAACTGTTTGATTGGCACATTAATTGGCACATTTCCCTGTCTAACTTAATATGAAAAATTGTTTCATACTACTGAAATTCACTCACAGTGCTACAGGCTTGTCTTTAGTGATACTCTTGACTGCGTTGCACAGAAAAAAATTGTCTCTTTCCTAGAGCTTAAAAAAACAGTACTATCATCTCACACTTGCTCTATTGCTCTGTTGGAACTCTAATGATTGAATGAATAAATAAAATGAATGCTGTTTACCTAGGTGCGGGATGACAACAAAAGGCAGCATCCCTGTCTTGTGGATTTCTCCAAACTGCCTGAAACAGAAAAGAATTATAACCTCCAGATGTCCACTGAAACCTTAAAGTGAGTTTTGCATGGCTGAATTAATGAGTTCCATTATAAAATGTCAGAGGTGGTCGGTAAAAAGCTATGACAAAGCCACAGTGTGTGGATCATGTGAAAACTAGCTATTAATTTTTGCTAGTACTGCATGGTTTTGCTAAATCTAAATAAGTTAAAACATTGTAAGTATAAACTTATTTAGCCATTCTGAAATTAAGTACTGAAATGCTCTCCTCTGTGTTAAACTAATTTCACAAGACTCGTAATTGTGTCATTAACTCTGGAGTGTTTTAGCACAATTATGTTTCTTGTTCAATTATTGGCATTAAATAGCAGTGCAGGAAAACCCTGAATAGTGAACAATTTAGTCATCCCCACAGGTAAAATTCATGTGGATTCAGATCTGGTGTCATGGGTGGCCAGGCCAGTCTTCTACCACAAATGTAAGGGGACCTGAATGAAAAATATTTGGTTAATGGGATTCTAACTTTTGAAGATCTAGGTTCATGTGTTCCTAACTTAATACATAACAGTTTTGTCCCATTTTTCCATATTTGTCTCCCCTTCTCACCTGTTAATACCAATTCTCACATTCTTTCTTATATGCTTCTTATCCACAGTAACCCTTTCCCACATATTCCTACTCTCTCCCATGTTCTACCCCATACCTGAAGAATGTTTCACAGCAAGGACAGATGTTGTTGTTTTTTTCTCTTTGTTATTTAGCAGTACACATTTTGAAACAGTTCCCTGTTCATCGCCAACTAGATACAGTACATAACACAAGCTATTCATTTTTTAATGTCTGTGGGTTTTGCAAGCTTGGTTATTGGTTTAACTGATTCCTCATAAAGAATATCAGTTTTAGTGCTTTCATACATGGCATTTTTCTCAGAACTTGTGAGATGTAGTCAGAATATAGAATTAAACAGTTCTACTAGTAGAAAAGAATGATCTGAACATTAATGTTCTGTCAGAAGCTGACATTTCCTATTGATTGCATGATGGATTTGTGGCACAGGGAAAGAAATTAAAAAGTAAAGCTTGATAAAATGTGGTTTGACGAAATTGAAAGCTTACGTGTGTGTAATTAATCTTTTTTTAATCTTCTTTTAACCATAAAACAAAAAAAAACTGAAGCTTAGGAAAGGGCAGGTTTATTAAGTTGAAAGCTGTGTGTAATTAATCTTTGTTTTAGCTACAAAACAATGCAGAAAATGACATGACATTCATAAATGCAGCTCTGACTTTGTAGATAATAAATGAAGCAGTCAGCGAGACATACAGCAGAATTCTAATATAAGCCATGAATGTAACGACCACCCATTATAATAGTAGCAGTTTACATAGCATTAGGTGTATATTCTAAAACAATGGAGTATTTCAGCAGAAGTGAATAAGAATAGATTTGTATCAAGCTCTTACTTAGTAGTAGCTGGTATTCCAAATAAACACATAATGCCATTCTTGTTCAGAAAGGATGGCATGTTGTCTCAAATAGTGAGTCTGGAGCAATTCATACAGCTGCATACTTGCAGATTTATTGTATCAGATGGTCATAAAGAGAATCAGTAAATCAAAGAGAATTTAAGATCATGATTATCTTGTTTTTGGTAGACTGCAGTTCTGGTTCTTAAAGGAGATGCATCATGGAAAACAACTCGGGCCCAAAATCCTGTTGCAGTCAAAACATACAGTACATTAGCTACTGTATGTGTTAAAAATGCATCAAGAAGCCTCTGGAAAGCATCTTGAATAAGCATATCCTTAGGCATTAATACTACTGTACAATATGGTGAAATTTTACTGGTTAATTACTGCTTTGTGTCTTATACCCTCCCATAGGACATTATTGGCTTTGGGATGCCATGTCGTTCAAGTAAATGTGAATGCAGAAGAAGATCTGAAAAAAATGAAACTTCCAAAGAAGTAAGTTTGTTTCCAAATAATTCATAATTGGTTTATTAGAAATACTTGATTTGTATGAAAATGTGTCTCCACATTATTTCAGAGAAGTGTTATTTTTTCTTTTCTCATACTCCACTTTGACCCCTGTAACAGCACACAGGAGAGAAAAAAGAGCTATAGGTTAACTCCTCTGACTCGTTTACCTTGTAGCCCTTGTCAAAGGCCACACAGCCCCTTAATAGAGATTCAGTGCCAATTGTACTTCACTGACAACACCTAATGCCTGCAAGCACCCGGGAGGCCGCAGGGATCCCCAATGTCACTGAGAGTCAAGGGAGGCCTGTCTGACTAATGCTACCTGAATCTGTGACACTTAGCCCACTGTGTTCCTCAGCTAGGGGAATTCCAGTCATAGTTGTGTAGTGAGCTGACCCAGGTTTGAACTTGTGATCCAGAGCTCAACCTGGTTGGACGCAGGCTCTATACTCCAAAATATATTTTATGTAACAAATTGTCAAGGTTTCTTCACAAAAGCCTACATCAGAACAGTTGACTGAAGCTGCACTATGATTGTTTCAATTTGGAAGAGCCATAGTTGAATGCATCTTTACAAATAATAATAAAAGATTCATGAATCACAAAGCCAATGAAATATATATATATACAGTATGAACATTACCAAAATACAAACATGATCAACAATAATTTATTAGAAGATCTTCAGTAAGCCAAATATGATTGTCCTGATAAAGGGTTCGGTGCCAAACCAATGGCAGTTTATTAAAATTTATTTTGGACTATACAGTAGATTGTGCATCTAGATTGTCGACTTTTTATATGACCTTTTCTCCAGACAGCACCTTTGTGATTTTTGGGTGTCTGTTCTTTTCTTCTCCTTTCATAGAGCTCCACCTTTCAATGCTGGATAATCCACACGGAACCATGATATTTCAGACACTTTTCAACATTAAACCTGAGAAAGTACATTATCTATATATTTTAGAATCTGACTACTATTGATCAGTCAAATAGTGTCTCAGCAGTCAAATCTGTGATTGTTTTATTTTCATGTACAAAACAGCTTTAAGCCAAGAGGTCTGATTAAGAATAGGGTGTCCTGCTACAGTACCTTTGTGTGTAACTCAATTAATTTGTGTGTTATTGAGAATAAATAAAAAAATTGAAATATGTAGTAGCTGGGTCACACTGTGAATCCATAGATCCATTCCCATTTCCCTTTTCATTAAGATATTTTGCATTGACCTTTGGAAACTGCAAAAAAAAAACTTTTGAAAAAGAAATGGTGATGCTTTGAAAAGCTTGTTTTTTTCATGCCAGTTTTATATACTGTACAAATGATTTCAGAATTATTGAAACCTCATGGTATATTAACTCAAGTTACGTGTAATTTTACTTGGAATCTGTAATTGAGGAATCTAATTGTTTTGTTTTAAGCTATATGATGTCAAATGGTTATAAACCTGCGCCACTGGATCTTTCTGAAGTAAAACTGATTCCTGCACAGGAAGTTCTAGTTGATAAACTTGCCGAAAATGCACATAATGTTTGGGCAAAAGACAGAATTAAACAAGGATGGACCTATGGCATTCAGCAGGTAGGAGAAAATATTCTTCTATAATAATTTGTAATGCTTTTTTGTGACACATGTTGTACAGTAGCTCTCTTTTTTTCCCTTAAACTTTCTTTCTATAATGATTTTTATTATGATTCATACTGACAATTCTTCATATCCCAAAGTACTGTATGAAGAATTATAAAAATAAATCTACAGGACAGCTCTTGCCTTTGAACATTTTTACAGTGTTTGTTGTTTCGTTCCTTACAGGTATGTCACTACCACTTAATTTTTCTGCAGAAGACTACACATATTACCTGTTTAATGAAACTTCTAGTTTTTTAGTAATTAGAAAGCAATCAATGAATAAGCTAATATTTAGGACTAAACCTCAGAAAAATCATTACTGAATGCCTCATTTTGACACAGTATAAGAAGAATATACCAGCTTTGAACTTGAATCATAGTTTTTTTTTTATTTTCCAAAAGGATTTGAAGAGCAAAAGGAATCCTCGTTTGGTGCCATATGCTTTATTAGATGAGCGCACAAAGAAATCAAACCGAGACAGCCTCCGTGAGGCTATCCGGACACTAATAGGATATGGATATAACATTGAACCTCCTGACCAGGAAGGTGGTGAGTAGAGCTCATATCAAAGACACAGTACAAGTAAAGTTTGACAATACAAAGCACATCAGTAGAAATTTTCTCTTTCTGTAGGTATATTGGTTTGGCGAAGATATTGCAGATAACCTGACCTGTCAAATACTAGGTCAAATGCCTGACCTACATCAAATACTGTATACACCTCATCATTGAATACACACCAGTGGATATTGAAAGAAGCATTTCTGTACATAATGCTGTGTATGTTTTTCTGAAAACCTTAAAGAAATTAGTTTGTACTGTAGCATACTTGAATATTAACAAGGGAAATTCACTTCGTATGCTCAGTAATATATTTTACTGGCATTGTAAGGTAAAATATACAGTAGGTGGCCTAACAATGTGCCTGGATGTTATCCATTGACTCAAGGTGCAGTCTACTTTTAAAGTACATTATTATTTGTTTGGTGACCATATTTTCTAACCCACATGTTTGTGTTTCATGATGTTGTTTTTTTCTTTGAAGCTGGCCAGACTGTGGAGAGGTTGAGCATCGATAAGATCCGTTTTTTCCGTGTGGAGAAGACTTATGCAGTGAAAACTGGAAAGTGGTACTTTGAGTTTGAGGCAGTCACTGGTGGAGATATGCGCGTTGGCTGGGCCAGGTCGGGCTGTAGGCCTGACATGGAGTTGGGTTTGGATGACCAAGCGTTTGTGTTTGATGGATTCAGGGTGAGTTCATAGATCATATATTTAGGTACAACAGTTTGAGCCTTTGCAGGCTTTAGTTTTTTTTTTAAATTTTTCTCATGTTTATCTACTGGATAAGCCATTATATTTTTATTTTTTAGGATGTTTACAATGGACAACTTTGAAGATAAAATGTTAAAATATATGCACATGTTAGTTTTTTCTCACTTCATCATGTGGGCTTGTTTTCCCTTCTTAGACCTTGCATGCACTGTATGAGATGTAGCAGAGATGAGTAAGACTATAAAAAGAGTATGATTGTAGAGTAAATATGACCTGTGAAAAGTAATCCGATAAAAGTGTCTTTGCCCAACATACATTTCTGTGTTGTAAGACCACTAATTTATTGCACAGATCTGATGCCTATATGCGGTTGATTTTCAGGGACATCGTTTGCATCAGGGTAGTTGGTTTTTTGGTCGCAGCTGGCGTGCAGGGGATGTTGTTGGCTGCATGATTAATTTGGAAGACAAGTCCATGATCTTCACCCTAAATGGAGAAATCCTCATCACCAACAAAGGATCGGAGCTTTGCTTTGCTGATTTTGAAGTGGAAGATGGTGAGTACAGTATAGCATGGTAAAGCTGTGCTGTGTTGGTGCTGTATTTCATAAATCTCTGGGAGAAAATTGTGATTTCTCCCAGGAAATTAAAGGTATTGTTTTAATTTTCTTTTTACTCATTGTGTTCACTCAGGAAAAGAAATATCTCATTCTTTGCTTTGCCGGGAAGTTTGATAAATGTGATGGTTTGGCTTGATTCAAGAGTGAAATGAGAGTATTACGACTGAAAAATATTTGATTGTTTTCAGGTTTCATTCCAGTGTGTAGCCTGGGTCTCTCCCAGATTGGCCGCATGAACCTTGGCAAGGATGCTAGCACCTTTAAATACTACACAATGTGTGGTCTTCAAGAAGGCTTTGAGCCTTTTGCTGTCAATATGAACCGTGAAGTAACTATGTGGTTCAGTAAACGATTGCCTACTTTTGTCAACGTGCCAAAGAACCACCCCCACATTGAGGTAATTCAGTCAAAGATTTTAATTAGTTTTCTTTAAATGACATTTATGACTGATTTCAGTTGTGTCCTGAAATGTTCTGTTAATTCTGTATCAGTTAATATACTTTTTTTAAATACATAAATTTTAACATAATGTAGAATGAAAATATTAACATCTGACTAAATTGTACCAATTACTTACTAAATCCATGGAAGCGTTTGTTTCAGTGCTTAGTTAGAATTAGTGCTCTACAGAAAAAGGACCTGTTGTTCAGTGCCTTGACGTCTTTTCTTTCCTTCAAAATTTGCAGGCCACTAGAATCGACGGCACTGTTGACAGTCCACCATGTCTCAAAGTGACCCACAGAACCTTTGGAACCCAGAACAGTAATGCAGACATGGTCTATTGCCGCCTCAGCATGCCTGTCGAGTTCCATTCAACATTTAAAAACACGGGCATTTCTGACGCTGAAGGAATGCATGACGATGAGTCCCTGAAAGCAAAGCAGAGGTGAGACCCGTTGAAGAAAACAATGCTAATGTTAAATTCAAGCAACATGTCACTGTGAAATAAAAATAAGCACTATGGACAATATTTACTTCCCTGTTCGGTATAATTACAGATTAATATCTACATTTATGTATTAAATGTGCATTGAAAAAATATTTTCTTTCATCTTTCATCATACTTTCATCAACACTTACTGAGCAGTTAATGAATATGCAGGAAGGCATCTTGCATCCTAAGGCATCCTAAATAGCCATGTCCTGAATTCATATGCAATTCTGACTAACCTCTTGGAGAAAAGGCCTTTGTTAACTCAGATTGTTTTATTTTTCATCTTTTTAGGTTTCCACTGAAATCCCAAAAACAAGTTGATGAAACCTCTGCAAGAAGGGCAGAATTTGGCAATATCACAATGGTAATTTGTTAGAATCCTTATTATTGATGATAACACTACTTGGTCTTTTACAAGCACCAATATTGATATCTGTACAAATCACAAAGTAAACATGTCAATACATTTAAAACAGAAAAACATGAATTGTTGTTATTTTACTCTCCTCTGCTTGCTTTGGACTTTAGTTTTATTTAGGATTAAGAAAAATATTATGCTACAGTATATACAGTGTACAGTATACGAAGAGGGATTTGTGTATCAATATTTGAAATCTCAGTGTTAATGATACAGTAGAAATATATGAAGCACTAAGTGCCATTGGTTTGTCATTCTTTCCTTTTATTGTCAGTGAGAAATTGTTTGGTTTTGCTTGGCTCTGCAGTATTACCATTCTGTGCGAATATTTGGAGGCCAGGACCCCTCCTGTGTGTGGGTGGGATGGGTCACACCTGACTACCATTACTACAGCCACAACTTTGACCTCAGCAGGAACCGCACTGTCACGGTAACGCTGGGAGACGAGAGGGGGCGAGTCCACGAGAGGTACGACAAACCCTCAATCTGAGGTCTCACTTCAGGCCTTGGGAAATATTCCTTTGTCTTATCGGTCGCCGTTTGCTGCTGTCTTTCCATCCATCCAACATAAAAGATGAATTAACCATTTGAAAAAAACAACTGTATTAGAATGGATCGCAAAGCCCACATGTTGAAGTGCTTGCCATAGATATTAGTAAGGTGTCAAGGTGCAAGATGATCATTATGTGCACATGTACTGTAATAATTTTTTAGTCATGGAGTTTTCTATAGAGATCTGAATTGACTGTTGCTTTTATTCCATTGCACTGCTTTTACATCACACTGGAAGCTGAAGTGATTAGTTCACACCTGATAGCTAAAGAAATCAAAACACAGTTAAGCAAAGGGACATACTGTAGTTTAAAAGACAGGGACAACATTAATAAGAGAAAAACAGCTGTTTTAATTTTGATTCATACTAAAGATTGGTTGTTTTCATTAACCACTGCACTTCTAGTTATGTGACAGATAAATCCCAGTTTTCATTTCCTTGCAGTGTTAAAAGAAGTAACTGCTACATGGTGTGGGGGGGAGATGTCATCAACACCTCCCACACATCCAGTCGCACAAATGTGGATCTAGAAATTGGATGTTTAATTGATCTGGCCACTGGCCTTGTGTCCTTTACTGCCAATGGAAAAGACATGGGAACTTCATACCAGGTAAATAAAAAAATATACATAGAAATCCATAACATTACAATTTAAATCATTTAAAAATTATTTTTAAAATTCTTAAATTTAGATAGTATTATAATGGTAATTGACAGTTTTGATTAGAGAAAAGCAAATAACTTAATTAGTAAAAGTTGTGTTTTGGGGGAAGTATGATTGTTAGGTTTTCTGTTGAGACTTATACATTGTGTTTTGCCTGCTGTATCATTGTAAATAAAACACTGCTGTCTTACTTTTAAATCTGGACTGAATTAAGTCCTAAGTAGTCGTTGATAAATGTTTGAGTGCCATTACTAATTACAGTAGTTAGCCAACTGCAGTTTGAGTGCTAATTCAATAAAATGGGAATACCGGGAATATTCAGAGTGAAAACCATACAGCACAACTACACTATATACAGTAATATAATGTCTAAATGTGGATCTTTGGTTAATGAAGACAATTCAGAAATACTATTGTGCTTTTCTTTCTGTATTCTGTATACAGTGCATTTGTTTTTTTCCAGGTTGAGCCAAATACTAAGCTGTTCCCTGCAGTGTTCGTACGACCTACTAGCTCCAAACTGTTTCAGTTTGAACTTGGGAAAGTAAAGGTTGGTTCTTCAAAATAAGTGTTTCTGCAGTGTGTAATCACTATTGAGAATACTGAGAGAAACTGAATTTCAACCTTTTGTAATTTGGATAATAAACTTTTTATACCCATAGATATTCCTATATTACCTGGACTGGTTGCAAAGATGTGACAAGTTTTAAATAATAATCTCTTATACACCATAAATGTTTTATTTTGTAATTATCCATCCATTTTCGAACCACTTAATCCAATACGGTGTTGTGGGGGAACTTAAGCCTGTTCAGGAAAACAATGAGTGAATTGTGGGATACACCTGCATGGTGTATCAGTCCATCTTAGGGCACACACACTGAGACACTTACACCAGTGTGCCCAGAAGCCAGCTAACCTATCAGCATGTTTTTGGATCATGGGAAGAAACCAGAGCACCTGGAGGAAACCCATGTGAACATGGGGAGAACATACAAACCACTCAGACAGCACCCCAGGACCTGAACTAACCACTGTGCTATTGTCACTGTGACACAACTGTCTTGTCTTCAAGGGAAAATACATTATAGAATAAACCAAACTAAAAATTGTTTGAAAATTAACTGTATAGCATGGGTGTTGAACTTTTGGAGAACCATGTCTGTTTTTACTTTACATTTCCCATTAATTTGTTTTCTGTGCTGTCATAGAACTTCATGCCACTGTCCTCAGCCATATTTAAGAGCGAGCACAAGAACCCCATCCCACAGTGTCCACCCCGCCTGGACATACAGACCATCACCCCTGTGCTGTGGAGCCGGATGCCCAACACCTTTCTGAAGGTGGAGACAGCGCGGGTCAGTGAGCGACATGGCTGGGTGGTTCAATGCCTTGAGCCCTTGCAGATGCAGGCAGTGCACATCCCAGAGGAAAACAGGTCAGTGTCCTCTTACAATACTTGCACGTAGGTCCATAATTTCATTTGATCTATTTTGTATAGTGTTCCTTACAGTTTTATTGAAGAGGCTGTCAATACTTTGATATTTTCACCAGAATTCACATAATTTATATATTGCTTCAACAAATTGATAAAAAAATATTTACAACTTTTTCCTTGTTAAATAGGTTCTAATAGTCTGATCGGCATTAGAATGCATGCAATGAAAATTTCATTTTAATGCCTCTGAGTACAGTTTGTGTTTATTGGCATCTGTGAATCAGCAAATAAAAAGACTACTTTTCAGTCTCGGTCAGACTTAGTTTTTGATGGTTTTTGTTTTCTGCTGTATATAAAGCTTGTAGTTCATCTTTTAATTTAGATGTGTGGACATTTTGGAGCTTTCTGAACAAGAGGATTTGAGGATGTTCCATTACCATACCCTCAGACTCTACTGTGCTCTTTGTGCGTTGGGCAACAACCGCGTGGCACATGCTCTCTGTAGTCATGTGGACCAGTCTCAGCTCCTTTACACTATCGACAACCAGTATCTGTCAGGCAAGCTGAGAGAGGGCTTCTACGACCTGCTCATCAGCATGCACCTTGAGACTGCTAAGGAAGCCAGGCTAATGATGAACAACGAGTTCATCATTCCCATCACGGATGAAACCAGGAGCATCCGGCTGTTCCCGGATGAATCCAAAAAGCACTCCCTCCCCGGGGTTGGTCTTTCCACCTCCCTCAAGCCGCGGCTCAACTTCTCTCCCCCATGCTTGATCACCACCAAAGGAGAGCAGCAGCTGCACAGCCCGCAGATCCCACTGGATATCCTGAAGGAGAAAGCCATCAGCATGCTGACAGAGGCTGTGCAGGGAGGGGGGCATCACATCCGGGATCCTGTGGGGGGCAGTGTGGAGTTCCAGTTCGTGCCCATCCTGAAGCTGATTGGAACCCTGCTGATCATGGGGGTGCTCAGCAATGACAATGTTAAACAGATCCTGCTGCTCATTGACCCCAACGTCTTTGGGGAACGGAAGGAGGAAGAGCCGGAGGAGACCAAGGAGAAGGAAGAAGTGACCAGCAATGAAGAGAAGGCTGTGGAGGCCGGGGAGGAAGAGGCCAAAGACTCCAAGCAACCCATGAAGGGTCTGTTGGAGAAGAGGCTACCTGAGTCTGTCAAGCGACAGGTAAAAATGAATGGAATATTATACATTGCTGGCTGAAGGATACATTTTAGCAAACCTTATTATATGCATTAGTTAATTATGGGCTTCTTTTATCAACTGTTCAAATTAAACTATTTTAGTGGTTAATGTTTTGTGAGTACTGTAGGAATCTAGGAATCTTGCTTGGTAGTTTTCCTTATCTTCTGTGATTTTTTTCAGTTCACAACAGTTGAACAGTATCTTGAAGAGAGATCTAAGACTTGTATTTAAGAAAAGCAAATGCTTCAATGGGATTAACATTCAAAACAATCCAAATATTATAATATTGTAATATCAAAAATTATGAAACCTCTCTTGTTTTTAAAAATTGCTCGTGAAAAAAAACTTTTCCCTATGTTTGTAAAAGCATACATGTAAATACAGGGTATATAATATTTATAATATATGAGTAACTTTATAATAATATGAATATTATTTGGCCTTGTAACCTTAACTTAGGCATGAATTACTGATTGGATTTGAATAATTCATGGAACATAAAAAACATGACCAGAACTGAATCCTACAGTTTATAAGTGCTTTCTTGCTGTTTTCTAGATGTGTGAGCTCCTTCATTACTTCTGTGACTGTGAGCTGCGAAACAGGATCGAGGCCATTGTGTCTTTCTCAGACAGTTATGTGTCGAAGCTTCAGCAAAATCAGAAATTTAGGTACAATGAGCTGATGCAGGCCCTCAACATGTCTGCTGCAGTGACTGCCAAAAAAACCAGGGAATTCCGTTCGCCCCCACAGGAGCAGGTAACACCACTTCTGAAATTTGAATATAATAAGAATATAATCGGTTATTCTACCCCAAGACTGAAGTTCCATACTACAGAATTACGACTAGTTCTCAGTCCTTCTGGACATTCAAGAGATAGGATATATATAGTATTGTCCCCAATATTATAGGTTATAGAATTTTGTGCTGTTATAAAAATGCATTGATACACTTATAGCTACTGTCTGCAATGTCATACTGTGGACTGATCTCTAGTTTCTAAAGCTGTAGTGCAAATACAGTACATGTACAGTATATGCATTTTAATGCAAGAAGCTTGAAGACCAGTTGAGAAAAAGCACTTACCTTTTTTTGTACAATAAAATAAAATCTGAAGACTGGGCAAGTGTTCACTCTGTTTCTTGACTCAAACCAAGACATTTTGATAACTTCAGCAAGATGTACCAGCTTTCATTGATAATAAAATATTAAAGTATTACAGGATGACTATTTCTCATTAGGTTTAATGCAGTTAGTATTTAATTGACATTTAGAAATGTTGCCTGTTTCCTTAGAACCTAATTCATTAAGTGAGTTCACGTAACAGTGACATTAACTTGTTTTGCCCATTATGCTTGTATAAAATATTAAAAAGACTGAGAATAGAGTCAGCTTTTTGTCACAGAATTCTCCTGAAACACGTTGTTTGATTCACCCACATCACAGCACAGCATTGCTGTTTTTTTACTGTACCACTGACTCAATGCTATGAAGAAGGAAATAGAACATGAGTGTGTATCCTTAGGTAGTCATGAGTAATTGATTTATGGTTTCTAGGTCCTATTACAATAAGCCCTTAATTATAAGTATTGAGTATGAGATGAAAAATTGTCAGAAGTAAACCAAGTGTTTTTGGAATGGTAATGGACTACTACAATAGAAGTTTTTCATTATATCTTTAAGAACCCTTGGTCTCCATGACTTGCTTACAGCTACGGGTGTCAATGTGTGTATCCAGTCAGCATTTGTGCACAGTAATGCTGCGTTCTTTTTCTTGCTGATTTTATATCCTGGGGTAGACGTTTCTACCCCTTGTATGCTTGGGTATTTTCAGGGGGCCTGCAGAGACCACTCTCATCACCATTGTACAGTGAGGGTAATATGATGCCTTAATCTTGGATTCATTAATTCAGTTTCTCATAGCTTCACCATAGGTTCTTTTATTCACTCTAGCGTGATGTTTACAAAATCGCTGAAACCATCTGGCCACAGCATTTCAAATTCAGTTTCATGTGCTTGGCCAATGTATTGGCAGCAGATCACAATTCAGCACAGACATCCCTTTTGTGGACAAAACTTCCCTTTATCAGAGTTTGTTCATGAAATCAGAAGTCTTTTAAAGGGTTTATTTATTATTTTATTTTGTTAAAGGGTATAGTTGTTTTGTTCAATTAAAATCTCTATGTAGTGATTTGTATTGTAAAACACTTGCTGAGCAATAAGAGTGAATGACATACCTTCTTATTCAGACTATTCAAGTAAGCTTTCATCATCTTGGTCTAATTTTGTCCTGCCACACTGCTGTTCTAGTATTTCAATTAATATGCACATGAAATGTGATTTTCAGTGGCAATAAATGAAATTTTGCTGATGCATTTATAGTTTAAAGTTGGTGGATATTTTTGGTTTATGCATCCATGCTTACTGCAGAAAACCTGACTTTAATGTTGTAGCCTGTTGAAACATTTATTATTCAGCAAGTGGTTTGTGCACAAGCATACTGTAGTATAACGTTTGTGAACAGTAACGCTTTAGCTCACTTCTGTCTTGTAGATTAACATGCTTCTGCAGTTCAGTGCTGGGGATGACTGCCCCTGTCCAGAAGAAATTCGAGAGGAACTGTATGACTTCCACGATGACCTTCTATTGCATTGCGGTATGACATAACTTGAGCTTTAAATCTTTATTTAAAAATGTATGTAGTAGAATCCATTGGGAAATGTAATATTATTCAGATCTACCTTTCATCAATTACTATAGACTGTACTGTCACAGGTACAGTATATGAGAGGGTAGAACGAATGAAGACTGGTTCCGTAAAAAAAATGAAAAGCCCTGTAACAGGCAACAACTTTATTTTAAAATGTAGTAACTACACTCATTTCATTTTGGGTAATTATATTTTTTGTCATAGAGTGATAGCTTGTATATCACTGATTCCTAATTTACTTAGTTCTCAGGATAATTTCATAAAGTATAAACAGCCCCTCACACATTTGCATATATACAGTAGTTGGATTTTTGTTACTGAGTGTGTGTGTGTCTCTAGGACCAAGACTGGGAACCCCTGATCTATGTAAAGTTAGTTAATTAATAAAAGCTTGGGGTTCTGAGTTTTCAGTCATTATAATGATGTGTTTAGGACCCAATTGACTATAATTGAAATAAATACAAATAGCAATCCAGAAACATATTTCATGTGCTATAGAACTGCAAATCAGGTTCAGTTTTTAAAGATTAAAACAGCTTTTTTTTAATATAGAAATTAATATATTTTTACTGTTTTTCCATTTTTCTTGGTGCTTTTACTCAGCTTCTTAAATGTTGTAATCTGTTTCTTCATCAAGGGGGAAACAAGATGTCTTCAGAAACAGGAATTACTGGTAGACATTAACTCACAATGTATCTACTTATCTATTTTAAAATAAACGATATGAATGGAAGTAATGCACCTTAATACTTCTGTGAACTAAAGAAGCTTATAATTCTTTATATCTCAGTGTTGAGTGTTACAAGAGTAGAATTTTAAAGAAGAGAAATGTTAGTTTCTCTGCCAGAACAACTAATGGCCTCAGTATTTAACTTTGCTGATTATGCGTAATTCCAGTTGATATATTATTAAATAATTATAAAGACATAGGCCAAGGGGGAACTGTGCTGTTAATGTTTTAAAAGCAAAGGATTCATATATGCATCATTTATTTATTAGCTCTTTTACAAGATCAGTGATTCTGGGAACATGGGTTCAAATCTGAGGGAATATATACAGTAGTGTGCATAGTTCATACATTCAGTCCATGTACTTTTAATGAGCATCGCCACTGTTTGTATATTTAGATGATACCTCATTTTTTCTGTTTTCATCTTTAATTAAATAAGTAATACGTTTAACCATTTTTTACTCTTTTCTTCCATAAAAAATGCATGTTCATTAATATTGTCTGTATTGCTCTTTTATCATTTCAAATTTTAAAATTTTAGTGAATGACCTGTTCTTGTTCATTTCTTGTTCTGATTAAATATTGCTTTGAAACAATAAAAACTGAATAATTTGGAAACTAGTATGTGTTATATCAGATACAGGAACATTTCCTAATGCACTGTTGTGCCAGCACCTTGTTTATTGTTTATTGTGTCTTAAGATTTTCGTGGAGTAGTATTTTGAATACAAGAAATTCCCAGTAAACTCTTTCTTGAAAGGAACAAATGTATAGTTCAGTTACATGTACAGTATGTGCAGTTACTGTACTGTATATGTATTGTAAATAGTCTTGTTTGCATATGGGTAATTAGTAGAGTTGAAAAAAGTGAAGATCAGGTCTCTGCTCCGGCTCGTCCCACAGGAATCCCGATAGAAGAGGAAGAGGAGGAGGCGCAGGACACATCAATCAAAGGCCGGCTCCTCTCCCTCGTTTACAAAATAAAAGGAGCCCCCCAAAAGCAAGAGGCGGAGCCCACTGAGGAAACACAATCTGCGCCCTGTAAGTCTGTACAACCTTCAATAACTTTCAGTTAAAGGAACAGAATAACAACTCAATTTTCATTTTGCAAAACATCAGGAGAGTTTAATGTTGGAGTAGATTTTTATCTTTCAGAACAGTTTTTTGTAGTTTTCTATTTACAGTAGTCTCTAAAACAATGTTGTAATGCCTATGATCTCCTAATGTTATAAATTACAGTATATCGGTGTATATTTGAGATGAGTCCTGTTCTAGGATTTCACTAATATACAGTACATATTTGCTTGACTTCAGGTTTAAAGAAAGCAATTTTTTTTCTTACTGTATATTGACCTTTTGACATTTTAGATGGCTTGCCACATAACTAGTACTTACTCAGGGAATCTTGCTGGTCAATTGCAAGTTTGTACAGCATGTGACTATCAATAATAAACATTATGACTCCAAAAACAACACTATCGACACTAATTGTCAATGTTTTCTTAGTGTAATGTTTGAGACTTATGTTGATAATTTTTAAGCAGTAATCTCTTTTTAATTCAATTAATAAATATAAACCTAAGAATCAAAATAAACTTGTCACTCTCCTTAGGCATGTATGTTTTTAGTAAAATAAATTATACAGATTTTGGATATTGCTTTAGTATTTTTGGCATCAATTAAATTAATTACTAATGACTGACCACGATAGACTCAGGTGACTTTAAATGTTGCAGTAGAGGTAAATTACGTTTGTTGGCTTAACCAATAATTTAAATTGTTGTTTTATTTTTGGAAACTTAACATCTCTTGTCAGTATAGACATAATCAGAGTGAGATACAGACAATTAAAACTTCTTCCTGTCTGTTCTCATCTCTTGAGTGGGTTGACGGTATGTCTGTTGTAAATGTTATTTTATTAGTTTCAGTGTATAGGACTCCTTCTGATGGTACAGATGAATGATGGTAAAGCTGAAGCAAAGATAATTGGAAATGTCATTGTACATCCTGCATAGGCTTCAGAATCTCTTCTGGCAGATTGACAGATTACCACAGTCTGATTCACCTGTGGGTATGCTCTCAGATGTATTTTAAGAACCTCGCTGGGATTAGGTGATCGGTACTTGTTCAGTACTCAGTGGTTGCCTTACAGTAAGACTACATGATATTGTGTTAGGACTCAATGTACAATTACTGGTTTTGATTCCAAGTAAAATTTTAAAAAAGTACAGTTTCAATTCTGTAACAGCACAGTTAAAGTGATTGATGTTGAAGCTTAGAAGTACTGTATATATTACAGTTAGCCAACACTAGTTTTTTTCTTTACCAATTGCTTCATTCCCTGCTTTAAATATTTTTTCTAGACCTTAATTTTTCTAGTATATTTTTGCAGTATATTTTTATACACTGGGAGTTCAGAAAGTGGTAAAAATTAAGTTCTTTCTTAAAAGAAAAATACACATTGCTCACCACAGTGGACATCACAAACACTGAAGTATTTTATATTATTCATAAAATCCCACTGAATATCTTTCAAAATAATTTTTAAAATCTTGTAGTAATACTGTGATGCAGCATAATATATATTATATATTATATAATATAAGTGTTTGCATTTGAGTAAAGTGCTTTATATATTGTACACATACAGAAGCCACAGCCTCATCTTCATCTGTTTTTAAAAGCTAAAGTGAGAAAAAAGAACCTCTATTTCCCAATACCAGTATTTCTTTATATGCTTGTCTTATACTGTACATCAAGTTAGAGGCTTCAAAGCAAAAACAATCCTGTAAAGACCTTCGCCAGTTCTAGTGATACTCGTTACAAAAACTTGCATGCATAGAAGTTCTAAGTGCACAATGTGATGTAATAAGATTACTCATAAATATCAAGGATACAATTAGGATTATTTAAAAAAACTTCTGAGAAATGTGCTACTTATTATCAAGGTATTTGTGAAGCAATCATGAAAAATACATTTTTGAAAGGGGTGCTTGGGGGCTATAGTTTGGAAAAATGTACCATCTCTATAATACTATTTGCTAAAATAAAAGTATTTGTTCATAATTTGTTATGTATGTATTGCTCTAGATTCCACAAGAATGAAGAAATTAGATGTGGATAAGAAACAATAAATGTTACAATAGTAACAGTGCTCTTGTAGAGAGACGGAAACAGTGATATATTAAGAGTTCCAGCGAACAGTTATGTTTCAAAATGCCAAGAAATTCCAAATTACATATTAAACATCCTTTTTAGATTTATAAGAAAACTGTAGTTATCTGCTAATGACCTCCCAATCTTTTTCCAATGATTTTCTGTGTAATCCACTATTAATTTAGTATTTTAGTGTTATTGTTACTTCTATAGTAATTTAGTGTTAGTGATGGTTTTTGGACAAATTATGATGTATAATGTATAATGTTCTGGCTTTTCTTAACAAGACGGTTTCTCCTGTAGAAACCTTCTATGCACACTTCAGTAGCAAACCATGCTCTGAAGCATGTTGTTTGTATATTATACAAATTAAGATGCTATAGTGCTTCTAGGTTGGTACAATAATTGAAAGTTTACAGACATTTTTCTGAACACATTACATCTCAGTACATAATTGGAAGTTATGAATTCCAAAGGTTTGCAAGCTCAGTATTTGTATCCAGTCTTCATGCAGAGCTAGTCTGCGTAAGGAACTGAGTAATACTACACATCATTCAAATGAAACCAAGCACTTTTAGATGTCCTTTATTATAGAAAATTCAGTGCAAGCCCACATTCTTTGACAATTTTGGGAAAATGTCCATTTTAGGATTTTCAGAAAATTTCAGGGGTATCTTATTTTTTAAATAAGCTATACAGTATGGCTTAAATGAGCTCAGGTCAACTATTCTGCTTGTTTAGCTCTACAAACATTTTGTATTCACTATGAAAATATGTTATATATTTGATTGCTAAGGATTTTAATTTACAGTGTTTCGCAGTTAACTGTTCCTATTTAGAATAGTGTAATTTGGTGGATTTGTTATTTATGTTTCTCATTCAGGATATTGTTGGTAATGGAATGAAAAAGAGAAACTGTCAAGGCTGTGGTTTTGCACAGACAGGCAATAAAGGAGAGACTAAACAATTTACAGTGGAAGGCAGCTTTATCGCTTTTGAAGTCAGGATGCTGTCACCTTTTAAGTGCTGGTATGTGATCAATATGTGGGTTCCCTGTGGCATTACATTCATAGGTTACACAACTGTTTCTTGTTAGTGCTACAAGAAAGGTACTTCTTTTTACATTCCCTTTTCAACCAAAGTAACAGAGAAAAACATCCTCCTCTTGGATCTGTTACATGTTATGTTCATGATTTTTCTACAAAGAACAGTTCTTGTAGATCATATGATCATACATTTTAGGATATATACTGTACTGTAAATGATGCACAGCTTCTGCCGAAAATTCTGTAATCAAAATGGTGCCATGATAGACCAAGCAGAGGGTGATGAATACAAAATCCCTCTTTGTACAGAATAATTGGACATCTTATTTTAATTAATGGACATTGTGTGTTTTATTGTTCATAGCTTTTGATTAATTTAAAAATATACTGTGAAAATTCAAAATGCCAAACTTGAAATTTGTGTCCTTCATGATATAGTCAAGTATAAAAAACATTTATACTGTTTTATAACATATATTTGTTTTACTTTTTTTGTAACAGTATTACAAATATTATTGTTAAATGGTAGTAACATTAGAGGAAAGCATGCACTAAGAGGATCATCTCAATACTCCCATGCATTTAATAATCCAATGTAACTTTGAAATGGTGTATGAAATTTACTACTGAAACGATAACAAGCTTCCTGACAGTTCTGGGAATTGAGTATATAGTCCACCAGGTTTCCTAATGGACCCTGTGTCTCTTAGCTTAACAAAACTATTCATAGTTTCTTCCTGAGTCACTTGTAATATGCCTTTACACCAAGAGATGAAACTCAAAGGCAAATGTTTCTGACAAATAGATTTCACAGAAGAAAAAAAAGCATTATTTAAAATGCATTATTTTACAATTTAGAAAGCATTTACAATATTGTTTGTACAATTTCTGACTCTTGATTTATTTTTTTAATAAATGTTTACAGTTGTAGTTTTGTATTGGATTGTACATTAAATCCTGCTTTTCATTTAGACAAATAATTAAAAATAAATGTGTTCCGTCTTGTCTACCTTTATCTATGCAAAATGATTGATTTTTTTTCCAGTACTTCATTGTGTTATAAGCATTAGTTAGATATTAAAGAGATCTTAAATCTTATTTTTGATTAAGAGAAGACCTTGTCATGTGTGCTACTTGATCTACTGATTTATCCAGTCTTTTGTGCTTTAACAGGCACATATCGAGCTCATGTTGTTCGAGAAGTGAATGTGATAGGCATCAGCACTATGTCACTGTACTGCCTTTATTGAGTCTGAGTTAATGATGAAACACAAGGGAATGCACACAGAAAAGCCTGTAAACCCATCAGCACTGTACCTTGATGAAAATCATGCTTCATAATAGACTTAAAATGCCTTCAGCATTGCTGGTGGCTCAAAGCATTAAAAGTTAATCTGCTTGAATTGTTAGTTGTAATTGGCTGTGACCTCAGCTGGAGGCAGACACTGCTAAATTCAAGCTTCCTTTCAGTGTGTTGGATGAAGAATCCAGAGTCCTTCTTTCGGGCTATCTAAGTCAGCAGCTCTGTCTGTGTCTGGTCACCATGTGAAGAGTTGGTGCATAGTGAGGGTCTCAAATTACAATAGCCAACACATTTCATAAGAAATAAAATATTCTATTGTTTTTGGAACTCGACACTCAGACTACCACCTGTTAATGTCTGCAGTGTATTTACAGATGAAAATAGTTCTGTACAGGCTAATTAGCGGGTACCCAGTCAGTCACAGCAGTAATAATTTAAGGACATTATTTAACTGAATTGAGTAGGAAGGATGTAAATGTCCAACACAGATTTGATGTAAAATAACCAGGTCCATTGATGTGCAGATATAGTCTGATACTTGAAAACAGCTTTAATTCTGGTCTTGCACCTTTAACTATACAATAAGGGGATTTCAGTACTAATGTTAAAGATAATTATTTTATTAATGATGTCAAATATTACTATGGCAAAATTAAACAATTGTCTCCAGATTTTAACTGTAGGAGAAGTGAAACAAAATCTTAATTTCCTGTTTAAGCAAAATTTTTCTTACAAATATGCTGGCACACACTTGGGGGAATAAAAGCCACTTACAGATCTTGCTGAATTTCTGTTGGAATATTGTGAACACATTCCTCAGCTAGTCTGTAATATTATTTCTGTCTAAAAACCATAAACATTGTTACTAAGTATTTAATAAATCATTTTTGACTTGTGCCAGTAATGTACTGTATACAATGTCCACTATTCAAAAAAGTCCAATACTCTACAGTTCTATTCTCTGTTATACTAGAAACATTGACATTTCATATGGTTCAGACAGCAAGTGAATGTTTCCATGTGTATACTGTATAAAGATCTATTGCCTTTGTCTTATGAGACTGGAAAAAATGTTGTGCTTAGCAGTATACTTTTGAACAATTGCAGTTTGTTACCCCTTCAGCCATACAGCATATGGGATATAATTGACCAGAACATTCAGTGGCCACCAAATGTCAAAGCCTATAAGTTACATTGGATTTTTAACTGCAGTAGCGAGTAGATATATGTTTATAAACCAACAAAGAGGTGGCCCAGTACATTCACTTAAAAGAAGCCCTTAAAAATAAAATTTCTTATGCGCTCTGGTTGAAATGAATGTAGTCAATGGTATTGAAATGTTTCAGTTTTAAATTCGATATAGCTCCCGTGTGGTTCACCGAACATCTTTTTATGCTGACAGTGGCTTATTGATTTAGTTTTAACATCACTTTAAGGTTTATAGTCATGGTAGCTGCCCTGATACTGTTTTAGAAGCAGGGGTCTGTTTTAGAAGCAGTACATCAGCTTGTCACATTTCAGTAGCTGCACTATTGTGTATGTATATTAAAGAAACACCTTTGGGTGAATTCTGCAATGCTCAGAAACTCTCTTTTGTAAAAAAGGATTTATAAAACTTTCTTTTTGTTTTTGAATAATAAGGAAAATTCAGGGTTTACAGGATATAATGGTACTCTTATAGAACTAAAGTCCTACTGTATTTTTGCTATGTACAGTAATGTAGTATGACTCTGGTCACAGGTCATCTGAATTGATAAGTGTTTGTTAGATTGCATGAGGAATGTCAGATGGGAATTGATTTTTTTTTCTTTAATAGCACTTGATATCAGTACTAAACGCAAGCCATACAATATTTTTTTGTATACTGTATACAATGTTATGTTTTTTTGGATGCATTTCCATAATTTCAAAATAGAATTGTATATCTTTTCATTTATGTGGTCGCTTTTTTCTTGATAGTTTAACCAGCAATAAAAATCACGTTTCAAAACCAGCTGAACAGAACCATGCTTATTTGTCCTCAGTGTGTTCTCTAAATTGGTAAATATTACTGAGATGCTCCTGAGAGGCTGAGAGGGTGTTACAATAATCCATAACAGGGTGAAGGCTCCGTCTTCAGGGTGCAAGCTGTCTTTCAATCCGGTGAAGTCTTCATTAGTCAACAGCCCAGCAAGCAGACTTTAATCATGAATTATTTTTAAAGCATCCATTTGTACTTCCTTGAAAATTTTCTTTATACCTGGAAGATTTTTTAGAGTATTGCAATCAGCACAGTTGCAGAAAAGAGAAAATATTATTTCACAAATTTCCTACACTGCATTTGTATTGAGATAATACTAATTTATCTCTTAAATCTTAAGTTTTGTCTTAAATCTTAAGCTCTAATAATGAGATGCCACAGTAAGATGTGAAATTAAACCATTGAATGTTTAAACACTGGGTTTGGTGTGGTAATGTTTCTTCAAATATGGACTCACCTCTCGTGACAGACAACCCCATTTGCTGTGCATCACATTTAGGTGTAGAAATAATTATTCACTGTCATTTAATGACATTTAACAGATAAAATGGATATGGCCTCATTAGTGTCATGGATTCTGTGGTTGTGGAAGTGCTTTATTCATAATTGGAATGCCCATCAGCATGAACGTGAGCATGAAAATGAATATTTTCCGTTTTTTCTTGAAATGTAATGACCTGATAGAATACATTGAAAACAGATACCTAATACAAATAGAAAATTAAATTTAACTTTATAGTACTACAGTAGTATACAGTAGCCCTCTATAGTACTATCATTGGACATGACGTAAGAGTGATACCAATTAGATTCGACACTATTGCAGTGATGAAAGTATCGTGGTGCTCTGTCTTACAGCCAATTTGAAGGAGCTGATCTCTCAGACAATGGTGAGCTGGGCCCAGGAATGCCACATTCAGGACCCTGAGCTGGTGAGGGTGATGTTCAGTCTTCTGCGGAGGCAGTACGACAGTATTGGGGAGCTCCTGCGCTCCATGAGGAAGAGCTACACCATTAGTGCCATCTCCGTTCAGGATACCATCAACCTTCTGGCTTCACTGGGACAGATCCGCTCCCTGCTCAGTGTGCGCATGGGGAGAGAGGAGGAGATGCTGATGATCAACGGACTGGGGTAGGAAGTCTTATTCTGTGAACTGTAAATGTCTCATACCTACAGTACAGTATAACCTCTCAGCCAGCCGAGCTGAAAGAGAATGCAATGGAGAGGCCTGTGGAAGAAGAATAAAAATGGATTGAAAAAATAAAAATATGAACATCACAAGATTGTAGTGATGTTTGGTGTTTGTTGTGCTTGTTTTCATTCTGCTACAGTTCAGTATCATTAAAGATTTTTGCTAGTTCTGTTTACAGTGGCATATGGAAATATTTGGTCACTTTAAGTATTTCTGCTTTAACAAAGTATCGAGGGGCAGAGTCCAGAGTTAGAAAATTTGGGAAAAAGTTTTTTATCAACTAAACTGGAAAGCACAAAATGAACACAGAGAAGTATGTGATTCCTTAATTATGTATGTTTAAATGGGTGTTCAGTAGAATTTTTGTTTGTTGTTTAAATTTTACATTTCATTCTATTGTCAGAGAGTATCTTGCACAGTGAGATAGTAATGCTTATCCACTCTGTGTCTTTTCTTTGTTCTACTTTCAGGGATATCATGAACAATAAAGTATTCTATCAGCATCCCAATCTGATGAGAGTGCTTGGCATGCATGAGACTGTCATGGAAGTGATGGTTAATGTCCTTGGGGGAGACAAGTCTCAGGTAATTTCATATATCACAGGGATATGGTCAGAGCTGGCACGCTGCCAGGATACATCATATTAGTTGTTAATCTTGTAGATAGTGCTCCTAAGTGCTTGGTCTAGTAAAGAACAAACCAAATGCTCAAAATGCAATTTTAATTAAGGGAATTTTTTGCTTTTGTACTTCTCTGTATTCACGCATGAATGTGGTCAAAATTTCAACCTATCTGCCAATTGCAGTGCAGTGTAAGTTGAAATAGCAAATTACAAACCCATTGCTGAATGGCAAAGTCATCTTGTGTTATAATGGAGAATATTCTTGCAAATAACACTCTTCTAGGACAGTGCTTGGATTAAAATGTGTGATTAGTGAAAATTAGTGGGGCTACAGTATTGATTTGGTTGAGGTGTAAGTGGTTAAGGTTAAGGTGCAAGATAATGTAGTATACTGTAGATCCTTTTGGTAATTCAATCTTCTTTGTAGATATCTTATTGTGTTCAGTCATGTCTTGAATTGAGCTGACAATGACCAATCATGGACAAAGTTATAAAAGAAATGTTACCCGTGTTAATAGGTTAATTTCTTAAATTTAATATAAATATAAAACATTATCTTCTGTGGGATGCAGCAATAAAGAAACATTGTAATTTACTTTTTTCTCATAAATTGATGTAGATTTGTTTTGTGTTTTTAGCATTTGTTTCTTTTAAAACAAGTGTTTCTAAAAATTAGAACTTAATTTTCTCGTAGATTGATGTACTGTTGCTTTGCTTTTTTAAGCTTTTGTTTTTCTTTTAAGACAAGTGATATTCTTTTCCACAACAAAATCCACTCTAGCAATTAAATAGTATTTTCACCATTTATTTTAGTTTTCCATTTAAAACTATTGATGTGCTCAGCTGCTGTTGAGGTATCCTGGGAGCTAATACAGACCATTAGAGGGATGAATGTATAATTAACCTATGACTCGGCTTTTAAATAAGGGGATGGTTTTTCATGTTGTAATGAAATAGCCC